TTTTGGTTGTATTGGCGTAGTGGTACAGAGCTCCGTCCTTACAGTAACTAAGCAGATGTTGCTGGAGGCATGCAAACGCTTCAGGAGCTGGCGTGATAAGAACACAACGATGCGCGGGGCAGCTTATATCACAATTCACGTGATAGGAAAACGGCTGCAGCTGAAAGATTATCTCATGAATCCGACGCGCTAGGCATATTAACCTTGTGGCGGAGCTCCGATTAGGCTTAGCGTAGTAGCTAGTGACTAAGCCATCTTCTAAAAACTTCTAAGCTGTAAGGACGGAGCTCTGCGCCAATACAACCAAAAAGGTGCGAATAATCAACCAACGGTTGATTCTGCGTACATAATAGTATATATACCCGTCGCACGTAAGTGCCATCTCGGCCTTACACTAGATTGTATAGAGGACTATGCACTCTTCTTACACCATTATAAGTTAGAAGTATTACGTGGCTCTCACACTCCTTCACCTATCTCTCATACCTCTCCTCCCCTAAGACCCTGTTACCGTCAGAAGACACCTGGCAACAGGAAAGTCGAGGTAAGATATTATATCATAGACTCTCCATGCAAGCTAAATTGCAGAGGCAGAGCTATTAGGCTTCCTGTACGCTTCTACGACTAGATAGTAGGTTTAAATTAATTGCTGTTATTAACTTCCTAGTCCACTAAATATTTAGACCTAGATCTAGTTTATATGCAGCTCTAGAGCTTCAAGTTGTGGTGCTGCTACACGTCAATTTCCGTGCGTCAGGGCAGGCGGTGCGTCGGCTGATGAAATTTAGTAACACGCTCGCTTAGCTCTTAGCGCGATCATGTGACTAGCAGCGGAGCTTGACAAGCGGCATTGTCACACTTAGCAGCTTTTAATTAGCTTTAAAGTTTAATAGCGTAGAAGTTTTTAGAAGATGCCTTAACTACTAGCTGTTACGCTAAGCCTAATCAGAGCTCCACCACAAAGTTAACCTGCCTAGCGCGTCGGATTCATGAGATAAATATTTACCTCTAAGCGCTCTTGAGCTCTAGAGACTTTACATTTCACCTTAATATACCTAAGTTGTCTTTCACCACTTAATTGACTGCTCGCCTCTCTATATGCCCTCCATCAGCTCCATCTAGGCTCCCTGCGATAACCCACAGTACCTAGGCAAATGGCAATCTAAGAGAAAATACCAGTCTTGTGAATCAACCAGCAAACAACATGACACCTAGAAGACGCTATTTAAACCTACCTGCTAAACTGCCCTTCCTAGAAACCGGAGACTTCAAACCAATCAAAGTGCCTTTGCTCACCACCCTCCCATAATTGGGCTGGTGGCTATCTCTGAAGATGTCATTGTGGCGGATATCAAATCCCGAACTCCCTCGAATTACCCCCAATTTCGATGCAACATCCAACTAAGAGTGAAACATTTCGATCCACATACGAAGTTGAGTTCTCTGGAAGCACATATACGAGCAATATCAGCGGTTGCAAGTCGCAGTGGCTTAGCCCTCCTGTTTGTTCAAACAGAGAACTCTTCAACATTGCGAGAGGAGGAACCTTTAGTAAGAGTTAGTTTCAACAGATTATTCGTCTTGGTCGCAATGTGGTATATAGAGATGTAAGTGGTTGATAAAGGGGTCATTTGGGATGTGTAGGCAGCCAAGGATGGTAGAATAATCGGTGGTGAAGAGGGTCGGAACTTCCACTGCGGGATTTGGGGTGGCTATATCTGTACTATCACCGGAGCCACTACTGAATATATGTCTTACTCGTCCAATACGTCATATTTAGATCCCATAAGTTGAGTAATTCGGAATGACAAGGAAAGCACATATGTACATGAAAGGCCTTGCTTGTGCAAGAATTTACACCAACAGTCCCACAAGAACCTACTCTTCCGTTGTAAGAGTAAACTACCAACTATCCTCGAAATCAAACGTAACAGGCGGATTCTTCGCTTCAGTCTCCACATTCTCCACCTCTACAAACTTGCTCGCAGTATGTGCAACAATCGGGTCATTCGGCGCGCGCGCAAAACACTTGCTCGTCTTAAGATCGATGACATTGGACACGGATTGCTTGACCGATGCCAACTGATTCGCCATGCACGATGTATCTACATTGAGGTACTGATTTATCGGCTTCCCGTTGGTATTGTAGTCCAACCAGACGCCCAATTGCGCAAAGTCCTCGGCGGGGCTGGCATTAGAGTATGCGTCGGGGACGCACGAGTCGGCGTTGTAGGCGTCAGTGAAGGGTTGCTTGGAGGAGAATTTGTCGACGCTGTGCATGGTCCTTTAGACGAGGAGTCAGTATATGTCGAGCTTCTGACTGGAAAGAAGGCCATACTCATGCATAAACACGGCATCGTGAAGGCTGCCGCGAAGTAGAACCCTATCATTCGAGCTTCCGGCACTTGTGCTAATTGTACCATCAGGTTTATCCCCAGACACAACAAAATAATGCACAACATTGCTCCGAGCACCTGGCGGGACACGGCCAATGGCGTTTCGCATCTGGTCCACGCTGAGCTGTGCATCAGCACAGCGGCAGATAGTCCATGGATAGGCAGTGCAGTCATTGTATGTCACATTGTATACTTCCAGTTTACTGAGCGCACAGTTGGGACGAGAGTCGTCGCTGCCCCGGGCGGAATTGGCAGTATTGTAACAGAACGAGGGATACTGTCCCGAGGCCCATTTTGTAACTGTGCTAGCTGAGAATGGGGGTTTCCGATCGTCAGAGGCGTCGAAGGCGTCGAAGTTGGCGACAATGGTGGCCTTGGCGCGGGGGAAGAGACGCAGGTTTGGCAAAGCGAGGGCGTGGATAGAAGGGAGAAGAAGGGAAACGAGTGGAAGTATCTGGGTAGCAGAAACCATTTTGTTATAGGTCGAATCGAAACACCGAATGTAACGACTGAAGAGAACAGTAGTCAATGGAGAGACATTTAAGTTCAGATTGTACCAATGACCAGACTATATATCCGATTCTCCTTGCACCTACCACTCCTTTGAATTAGGTCTATCTCCGAGAAGGCCTGAATAGCTCCACGACGCAAGGCCCTGGAGGCTATGTTTGAGGCTCTGGAGGTGTAAGAAACATTGAGGAAACACTGCAAAGAAACTCCGACATGGATAGACGCGGTGCGAACCCATGTTCCAACTTTGCTTAGAAAGGTAGGTAGTAGTACCCCTGAACTCCTAATGAAATAATCATCATAGATCACGACCACATAAGATTAGAAGGCAATGCAAATCTGCAGTGCGACCGAGGTGAGCCAGGTTTCCGTGGGTAAAGAATTCGGGCGCCTGAGATCCTTCATCGCCTTAGCAAAACAAGTTGATTAAAGCCATCTTGATCCTCACCCCACAATTTCCTAACCCAACGATTCGCAAATGGGGCTGAGCCGCGATCTGGACGTGCTTCCTCGGAAACTCAAACCCTGATTGGTCCGCCTGGGATCATGATGCCTGCAAGTTCCCGTGCAGCCTTGTCAGAAACGAGGAGGTGAACAGCACTTTGCAAAAACCGTTTCAGGTACCAAGGATCGGTAAGACCAGAACATACTCGGACCCAAGGCCGTGTTTGGTGACATCCCAAATACAGAGTCCACAGCCTCCTGTTTCAAGCACGATTTCCTTATTATAAGCTGTGAAGCACCTGTCGTGGAACCAGATAATCTTCCTTTGACTTGCTCCAAGCTCCAAGCTCCAAGCTCCATGAAATGAGAGTGCCTTGCTAATGCCTTAGTCGTGTCGGTGATGTGATGATTGCGCAGTATGCTGCGACCAGATCACACGTACGTCAGTGCCGTTGTTCCATTCTTCCTATTATTTTCATGCTTCATCGTAATCCGTGTGATCGCCTCTCTCCAACGAAATGGGACGTTGCAGAATACAGCTTAAGTAGGATGGCGTACCTATGTCCACCTAATAGTGACAACAGTAACTCCCTTTAAGCTTCCTTCCTCTCACGTGTCCACACAATAAAGAATAAGAATTACTCAAGTCGCAATAGATGAAAGGACCGATGCCTCAAGACTGCGGAGAACCTAGGGAAGAAAGCAACTAGCAATGAAACGTCAGTTGCCACCAAAATTGATCTATGAGTGAAAAGGTGACCTTGACCAAGAATGAGGTGAGAGTATACCAGAGTGAAGACTTGTCAATACTAGGGTAGAAAACATAGCCATAGAAGGGTTACTGGAGGTGAATGACGGGGGGGAATCCAATGGCCTTTCCAATGAGAGGGCAACGAAAAAAGAATCTTGTCTAGCAGCAAGCCAGAAACACAGTTTGACGGCTGCGAGAGCGAGGGCAAGTCCCCATCAGTTCCGCAGAGATGCTTTATCCTCAATGGGAACGATCCAAACCGCAACTGTGCCTCGATGCTCTAGGCCTTGAAAGGTAGCCTCTTCTTGATCCACTCTCCGGCGTACGAACTAGTAGCATGGCGTGGAATGCTATCACCGATGAACTCTACCAGGCCGAGCTCGTCGTATCATCTTGAGGTTTATGTATTATGATGAGAAGATCATCAGAAGGCCCCGGGCAAGGATACCACCGTGCTGGTTGGCAGACTCGGAGAAAAGTGTGGGAGAGGCAAGATTTTGGAAGCTGTTGGAGCTAAGGGCCAAGGCTGTAGTAGTGTAACGTGAGGCACAAGTCGCAGCCTCCACCTCAGCTACGCGGCTGAGGAACACGAGTGCAGTTTATTCTCTTTTCTCTGCACTGTCATAAACTTCTGAAAACAACTATTGAAGCCAAGCATGGCCAGTGAGTACCATGGACACATTGACGGCCATGTTTTCATTCCTGCCCCACGGTCAGGCGACATGATGAACTTCAACTTCGGGGGATTCACCCCAGTGAATGGTACGCTACCCCCGGATGGTGGGCTCCTTGCAGCTAACACCAGCTCCACTGCATAGATCAAGCAAGGCGAAAACGCGGGCTCTTCTCGACTGTTCCATTCAGACGAGACCCCGACCTCGTGGATCGGTGAGAAGTGCGCAGGACCAGCTGGTCGCGCTACCCTCATCGGTCTGGGCGGTGTAGGGTAGGTTGAGCGAGGGGTCTCTGCTGGATTTGGTCCTGAGATACAGCAGAAAATCGCATCTTGCCATTCAATACTGCCACAATGTCCCGTCGCTACTTATGTAGGCGTTCTAGGTGCATGCAAGCACAAAGGCACGGTTCGAAGAAGCATACAGAGGTATTTCGGGTAAGCTCGAGCTTCCCCGGTGACACGGTCCTGCCATCAGCACCCTCCAGCTCGTCAGAGACTGGCTATACGACGAGGTCAACGGCCGTTAGACTATGGTCCTAGACAATGCGGACGACGTTGAAGCGTTCTATCCAAAGCGAAACTATGTACGAGGAGATTCACAGGGCATACTAGCGTCACTGGCGGCTTTCATACCTCAGGCTAACAACGGATCGACCCTAATCACGTCTCGAAGTAGGGATACAGCGACCCGGCTGACAGGAAGTTCCAAGAACATCAAAGCGGTTCTCGCCATGGATGAAGGCCAAGCTTTGCAGCTTCTCCGGAACAAACTCGAGGACAGCTCAGATGAAGCTGGCACAGCAGATCTACTCAACGCCCTTGATTACATGCATTAGCAATTACTCAACCGGCCGCCTACATCAACTGGCGCGCTCCTCGAGTGGGGGTATCTTGCTACCTAGATGAGTTCCGGAAGAACGACAAGAACGAAGCAAATCTACTTAATAGGGATTCTGGTGGCCTCCGACGAGACGAGAGCGCATTGAATACGGTCATGGTGTTTAATAGAACGTAGTACTGTTCCTACTGTTACTAATAGTAGCAATCTCTTGGCAGTTAGAACGAAAGTGAATTACCTTCCGTTACTGTACGGTCAATGAGGCTATAGTTACTCCAGTAACTGCCTATACTAATTGATTTCTTGGTGTTTTGGTAACGCGTTCGCGGAGGACGTTTTCGCGCATAGTAGTACGAGGGCTGCTGTGGAACAGGGGGCAAGCCTGGCATGAGCTGCAACAGTACATTGATACTGCTCAATCTGACCTCCTCGCTGCAGCCGAAGACGATATAGTCTATGGAGATCCACTCACTTGGTGGCATTAAATTAGGCGTAAGCACTACCCAACGCTGTACAAGATAGCTCATGACTTCCTATCTATCCCTGCTACAAACTCTGAGTGCGAGACCCTCTGGAGCCTCCAAAAACACTAGTTACTGCAGTAACTGCACCAAACAATAGCTTCACGATCAATTGACTTGGCAGGAATTATTACTGCCTGTAAGGCCGTTTTAATTCACTCTCTCCGTAAGAGCAAAACTCTATTGCCGATAGTAACGCCTCAAAAACACTTCTGACAGTAACAGTTACGTTCTATTAAACACCATGAATACGGTCGTAACTACGTGGCAGATGTCATTTGAGGTCATTTGTGGAAAAGTCGTTCTATTATCGCTTATGAGCTTCTTTAGCCCACAACAAATTCCCGAGTCAATGCTTCGCAACCACTTAAGGAATGCCACAAATAGGGACGATAACGAGGGCGATGACGTTGATAGAAAGTTCAACAACGACCCAGACATGTTGCGTGCCTATTCACTAGTGACAGCTGCGGAGGGCGATGCGTGTGAAATGCATCACCCGGTCCAGTTTTGTACAAGGGTGTGGCAAGAGAATTCCTAAGAGGCGAATATGAAAACTGGACACAGCCGGACCCTGTTTCCATATATTGAGTCTATGTTGGAGCGCAAGCCGGTTCAAGAAGAAGCGCTGGGAGACTGGGCGCAGGTGTTGAGTAAAGCTGCACAGTTCACGCTGACAAAAGGAAACCACAAAGCAGCCGAGAGTATGGCAATGAAAGCAGTAACAGTTAGGGACAGAATAGAAGGGGATGACAGTCTTAGTACACTAGCAAGTGTTATCATCCTAGCGGACGTGCTGCAGTATCGGGGGAAGTACGAAGCGGCAGAAGAGATGAACCGACGAGCGCAAGAGGGATATGAGAAGGCGCTGAGAACAGATCACCCCTCCACGCTGACTAGTGTGGGCAACCTGGCAGGGGTGCTGCAGCATCAGGGGAAGTACGAAGCAGCAGAAGAGATGAGCCGGCGAGCACTGGAGGGAGGAGTGAAGGCGCTGGGGACCGATCATCCTAACACGCTCAACAGTCTATACTGCTTAGCTTTCCTTTTTCTTCGCCAGCAACAATACGAAATTGCATTTGCTCTATATCTAAGGGCAAACAGCAGGCTCTAACGCGTGCTTGGTCTAGAGCATCCTACTTCAATTTCATGTGCCAGAGACTATTCATCTTTAATACCGGAAACGCAGAATATATAATAATTGTCAAGTTATACTGATTCCCACCATAAAGGTGGTTTATTTTCTAGCTGATATTTCTTTCAGCTCGCATAAGGTTCGAGTTGTAGACTATTTTTATGTTCTCGTTAATATATACCTATAAAAGGTGCACATACGAGGTACTTGGATAGGTTGTAGTATAACTTTTATATGCCGACATGCATAAGTTGACTATGTAGTAGTTAGTAGTTCTTCAGTACGGATGCGTAGTTTAGGTGTTATATTCCTACCGTTAGCAGGGAGGGCAGCCGACCCGCCGTAGCCACGCAATATAGAAGTATCCTTTTTTTAACGTGGCAAATCGCATGCCTACAGTAGTGGCGCTTGGCCAGACGTATAAATTCGGGTGCTAAGCGATTTGCTAGCGAGTGCGATAGTATTCTGCTGTCGCATCTACCCAAGGCAAAGCCGGTACATCACATTAATTCCTTTGCTTTGCTGGTCCCTATTCGGAACATGTGTAAAAGAGAAATTCGCATAGTTTCAAAAGCGGGAGTAGGGGCTATATTAAGACGAGGAAAGGGCAAGTCGACACGAAGGCAGAGGTAGACTATTGATAGGTTAATAGATTTCTCGGTAGAAAACGCTGAGTGCCAATCTAGCATGCAATATATGCAGAACCAGGCACCTTCAAAGCAGATGTCCCAACCTCAAATTTCTAGGGCGTGGGTGTTTGATTCAAAATTGATCAGGATAGAGGTATAGTAGGTATATGCTAATAATAGAGAAGAAGGTCAACGAGAATATCCTCGGCTACACAGAAGGTCACGGAAAAAGTCATGTTGTACTTGGCAAACTAACTTTATTTAGTTAGAATTCGTCCGAGCTCATACGACGACTACTTCCGGCATGTTTACACCTCTTGTAATGACTTGCTAATTGCAAGTCTGCATCTACCACCCTCATGCAGCTTTTGCGCCGCAAGCTTCCACCATGTCGTTTCCCTCTCCCTAAAGAAGGCCGCCATGCCACCCGAAACCTTCATCAATTCGCCACCGCGAAAGTCAACCATGGCGACAATCCATCGCTCAGTGAGGCGGAAGTCTATATATACGGCCCAAATCACCCTAACACCGTGCTTGGCGGCCTAATCCTCACGAACGGCGTGACAAATTCCAACGTCCACTTCATGATTGAGAAACTTTTTATATTTACACTCCACTTCTTTATGTAAGATGAAGATGAAACAAAGATTACGAAGGGTAATCATCAACGTCAACCTAGAGAGTATTACAATGTTTGATAGTTTATAAGAAATTCTTAACACTTAGCTATACAGCTGAAAATATAAGCAGTTTGTCTCCAGAGCAATAATGAGCCATGGCTCGTCCGCACATTTAGTCGTCTTACAGGAACCCGCGTCGCTACCTTCTAGAAGGCTAGTCGTTCGCAAGATCGCCGATGCACCAGATCTAGGGATATTGTAACTTCACTTGATGGAGTTAGCTACTGGGATGGCTTTGAAGCGGTGCATATTTTCCCGCTTGCCTACGAATATCACTGGACCGATCAGGGCTATGGCTGATGGATTACAGTTCAACGAGCTTAAGAGGGGTCTATCAACTCAGTACAGAATGGGTTGTTGCTTGACTCCTCTATTCACTAACTATTCAATGCCGATGCCATTTCTATCAATCCGGATATATGTATCTCTTCTTTCTATATCAAAGATTGAGGTTGATATTCATTATAGGACAATTACAAGGTTGTGGTCTTTAGACCTACGTCGAAAAACTTTGCTAGCAAGCATCTCGATCTGGAGTGTTACTCGCCCGGATATACCTATTACTTTGCGTCTATGATAGCGCTTTAGACATGCTGTCTTGGCTAATTTGAGGGGTCCTGGAGAGCTAGTCTTTGAGCATGACTTCCCACCTGGTTCTGACATAGTTGGTGACACACTTCAAGGTCTGAAGGCAGATGAAAAGGTGGAATTGGGCTATTCAGCCGCCTTAGCGCTCAGACGCAATTGTTCCTGGTGGCAGGTGAACATTAGAGTTTATATCGAGAGAAAATGAGAATAATTGTTAATCGGGAGGGCGGATCGCTGGTGTGTAGCATACACTTTCTGGCACCATATCATCCCAATCAGTAATGCTGGATATAGCGAAACGCACGCAATTTCAAAGCAAGGATGGTTGATCGTATTGAGACGAAAAAATAGGTTCTGACATGCTAAGTGCGCAGAATCAAACATTTCACAAAACCAAAGGCCTAACCTCGGGTTTCTGCGGTTTTTTATTCAGGATCGATGGGGATATATGCAGATCTGATTAATCAACAGAAAACGAGACGACCAGTTTGCAGCAAGATAAAGCAAACTAGTAAAGATGGGCGAGGCCATTACCAATCTAGCTGTCGCGAGACTCGAGGTTCCGAGCTGAATTGCATGTTTTAGTCCGGGGTTCCCCATACAGATGAGACTGTTTCATACTTGGGCAAGCTCGGTGGCTGACTTCAACTACATTGAACTTCCAGTCGGCCAGTGACAGCTTCGGATAAGCTCAGCCTGAAGAACATAAGTGCTTTTTTACCGCTAAGAGTTGAGTGTGGCCAGTTCCGGGCTTACAATATTTCTAAGAAAACACATCGCGTAGCTAGCGTAGTATCTGTTGTTTGTCGTATACCCCGTATCAGGAGCCAGACCACGTCGAAGATAGCGCCAAGCTAATGCAGGTTCTCCGCAGATTGATTCTTGCCATACGTCTCGAATTGCTGCTCACTGTCGATGGTGCGACATCCTACGGATTACTGACTTAGAAATCTTGAAACGCCGGTATTCGGTAAGTTCATATCATCGTATTGCGAGACGTTACGGTCCTTTACCGTACTAGCCTGACAGAGTCGCCAGAAATTCGCGATCCGAAGTCCATGTCCGTCAGAACAGACAGTGCCACCAAGAAAGCGGATATCCCAAGGTTCTCTACCTCAGTCTCGTGGATATGCACAATAATAACATACATCGACGCAGCCATAATGCAACAATCGGGACAATGCATGAAGACAGCTGATTAGAGCAATCAACAAGAAATTTTGACTAGAATATGTGGTTGCTGTCAATCACTCTCAAGCAATGAAAGGAGCTAAGCATTGCTATTACAATTACGTTCTTTATAAGTTTTACTTAAATAAGGACCAAAGAGAAAAGAAGAGTGTACTACTAAATTATATCATCGAGCGTAAATTTGGAGCCGAGGAATTGAGCAAAACAAAGCATAGGGCATACGGAAAAACCCGAAAGCTGAACAGCACCTTCAATGGAAGTTCATCGGTTGGAGCAGGAAACAAGGTTTTGCTTCCTCATCGGCCCAATGAGGTGATAATGGAACCGGATATTCATTGCCAAGACATCGCCAATCGACACAGCCCACTCCGCCACACGCATGACCTTAACGCGTCACATCCTGATTGACGTGAGTGTCCCTCTAGGCTGACACTGCAGGCTTCAGCTCTAGAATCAGTCATCGCACGTGCAGCGCACGCATTCGCAAGATCCTTTTAAGGCAGGAAACAACCTGCCCGTTTGGCGGTTCTCCACGTCGTGTTCTCCAACATCTTTTGATCGGTTGATAATTCCGACTAACGCTCGTTTCCTTAACTTCCCTCCGAAATACAGTACAAAGCATAACCTCACAATGGGTCGCTGGGTCGATCAAGACGGGGTAAGTGCCAATCACGCGACACATCTTTGTGGTGACGGAGATGCTGATAAGGGATCTTCAGGATGCCGAACGTCTCCCAGAAGGCTTCACCCGCATAGGCTACGACGCCGACACCCAAACCTACACCTACCAAGATGCCAACGGCCGGACCTGGGAAGGCGAAGAGGGCAACCGGTATGGACGTCTGCATCCAGGTACATTCCCACCCCACCTCCAATCTCAAGAACACCATCTAACAATCTATGCTAGCCGGCCAACGCCGCCCCTCCCTCACCCCCTCGGAAGTCGCCTCACACAACGAATCCCTCAAACGCAGTAATCGCGAGTCAGTCCGGATGATGCTCCCGTTCGCGCTCCTCGTTCTCGTGACCCTGCTCCTACTCTTCAAATTTGTAAACACCGGCTCGGGGGCTGACGACAAGGTGCAGATTCGATGTGCTGAAGGCGCTGTTGCGGTTCAAATCCAAAAAGGAGACACCTGCTGGAAAATCGGAAAAGCCCATGGTCTGGGTGTAAATGAGTTGTTGGGGCTGGATGGGAATGAGGCGGTGGATTGTGGGAAGTTGACCGTTGGGCAAGGGATCTGTGTGCCGGAGTGATATTTTGGGGAGATATATGATACCTTTATTTTGGATGGGGCATTCCGCCAGGTCTGGGGGCGGCAATGTTTGCGAAAGGCCAGAATGCCTTCTATGATTGAGAGATTCTTCGTGTTTTTGGCTTCTGGGACGGATAGGCGTTCCTGGTGGTTAGTTTCATGCTCATACGGTTTTTTCCCTCTCTCAACATGAATGCCCTAATTCCGTTATCTCAAAGTGCTAGCATATGACCTTCAGACCCGTCCCTCTCTACCGCATCCGCATATTCCCGACATTTCACGTTAACTCTTCTCTCATGCTCGGCCAATCAACCCGACGGAGCTGGCTCGGGCACTCGGGTATCTTGGCACGTCGCATCTTCCGGGCCAGCGCCTCACAGCGACGCCTTACTTTTTGCAGCGCCGCATTGGGCTCTCTCGGCTCTGAGCGTAAGGAACAAAAACAGCGCTTGCTGCATGGCCTGACTTTGCAATTGAAGCAAACCCGCCCGTACTCCGAACCTCACCTCTACTCTCAATTCGATATTCCAGTCCAATTCCGACAACAATGGCTGGAGGCTCCGAAAACACAGGCGCTCGCGTCAAACACGGGTACGCAAGGCCTTTCCCAGCTCCCATTCCGCCAATTGCCCTTTCATTCCCTCCCAATCCCCTTCTATTACTAACATCTCGCTCATCGCGCAGCTACCACATCGGCGAATGGGGCAACCCCTACGAAGGCGGTGGCCAAAAAGGCAAAGGCACCATCACGTATGCCATGAGCGCGAACCGACAACGACCGATGGCTGGTGTGCTGTCGAAGGGCCCGTGGAACATGTTTAGACGGACGAGGAAACAGATTCTTTATGTGCTGCCACCGTTTGTGGCGGCTTATGCGGCGATGCATTGGGCCGTTGAGAGGTATGTGGAGGGCGCAAACAGAGACTTCGGGGAGACTGCGAGGGAGAGTGAGTGGCTGTACCTGATGCTGATTGGGAACTAGGAATGAGTATTTGAACTCAAAACCCGGGCGCGCGGAGTTCGCCGATAGCGAGGAATAGATGGGATACCCGTCCGGAATATGGAGAGATGTTGGGGATCTCTGGTCTGGAGGAGAATTCAGGGTCCAGCGGGTGTCAACTGGGCGAGGTGTGTTATCGATTAGAGCGTAGATCTTCCGCCCTGGCCGAGGTCTTTTCAACAACGGAACAGATGTCCACGATACCTGCATTCGAACCTCGTGGAGAAGATAATTAGACCTTTTCACTTTCGTCTTGGGTGCTGTCGTTGGTTGTGCTAACATTGACTATGGCTGCTTGATTCCTCACATGAATTCGCGTTGGCTCGGGGGGCCGTCCTGCATCTGATGTTTCACTTTCCTGTCTGCGTCTTATTTCTTTTCATTTGCACCTTGCTTCCAAAGTCCATACTTAACACTATAGGCTGCGTGCATCCCTAGAACCTACCACCCGCCAACGATATGAACAAAACTACGGATACTTTAACTTATCAAGTCGATTGCTAGAATTAAGAAGAGAGAATAGAGGATGCGCGTGTCTACCAGAAATCAGACCTCATTCCTTCCAGCGGCAGACCTTAATCTCACTACCTCTTTCCATCCTTTCAAATCACTTAGACACTCCAGACACCCAGACAGCCTCTAAACAACTAGCCCGGACACCATTACCACATTCCCAGGCCCTCCATCCTCTCCCATAGAGCTCTCCATCGAATGGGCTTTGTCTCTGCTGACCCCGAGCATCCTTGTTACTAAAAGGTCATCCAGAGTCCCTGCCTCTCCACTGCAGTCCAGACGCCCTTGGGACTGAAGATATACGATCTATTACTACATGCACGTTAGTGTCCATCTCAACGGTACACTGCAAGCTTTGATGAACTTGATATCGCAAGGAGTGCGAATTATTTAAGCCCATTGCCAATGTCTGGGCCTGCGTCTCCGCCGACGTGGAGTCTCGCTATATGCGTGCGTTAGATCTTCTGTGGAAGCTAGATAGCGAGGAGGGTGACCAAACTGCCCTTTCTGATGGGCGATAGTTTCTAGTAGTGGATTAGGCTGGAAGGACAGGGAAGAGTCCTAAATGGAGACAGTGGAATAGAATGGAGGGGTAGGAACAATTTTGTAAGACAGTGAAAGAACCCAGAGCAATAGCTGTGTCGACCAACTCAAGCCATAACCACCTCCTCCCCAACCCTTAACTCAAACCCTATCATCACCTTCCCTCCACTTCCCAAACCTGAGCTCAAACGCCCCTCCATACCCAAATCATCAACCTCCTCACCACTAACGTACCTTATCCACCACCACCCCCGCATCCGCCTCCACCCCCGCATCCGCCACCACAACTCCCACACCCCCCACTCGCGTCTCCATGTCCTCCACAACTAGCCTTACACCCTGGCCCTCCTCCCCCAGCACTACACGCCCCCAAACTAGCCGCTGCAGCACAACTCCCAGCCGCACAACCCCCACACCCCCCCCCGCCGCCTCCCGTCGACGTGTAACATGTCGGCTCCGCATAATACGGCACATACACCGGGTAATACATCGGATAACCATACGCACCCCAGACATACGCATCGTTCACGGTTTTATTCGGGGGTTCGTCTGTCGCCTTTTTCTTGTTATAACGTTTGAGAACGCGGGCGTACGTTGCATCCAACTCTTCCAACTCCGTTCGACGCTGGTGCGCTGATACCCCCATCCCATCCGCCAAACCCACAGGTTCAAATCTCACAGCGTTATGTGCACTAACATGCACACCCATAACTGCATCTTTCCCAACCCCCCCCTTCTTAATCTTGTCCTCGACGTCCCAGATCTTGGAACTCCGAAAGGGGCTGATTTTTGATATGAATGACGAGCGTAGAGGTTCCCGCGTACATTCACAGTACCAGCATGCGCATTCAGCGTACGGTTGGCCATATTTCTTTTCGTATGTGTGCGAGGTCCACTGGAATTGCGTGTGGAGAGTGTTTTCGGAGATTTTGTCGTCGTGGTTCAGGAACTTGGACGTTTCGGAGAGGGTGTAGTGGTAGTATGTTTTTGGGGAGAGCTGTTGCGTATGCTGGGGGTTGAGTTAGTGGTTTGTGTGGTAAGGGTTGGGCAGTTTGTAAAGAATGGGGAGACACGAAAAAGAGATCTCAAACCCACCCAAGCCAAATCCACGTCCAATGTCGGTACAGCAACCTTCTTCGGATTCTCCGCCACAATCCTCACAAACCGATGATACTTAACAATCAGCCTCTGACACGTCGTCAACACCGCCGGACTATGCAACCAATCGATATTCCGCATCTTTAGCACAAAACTGCTCTGTCTAATCACCGCGCCCACAAGATCTAGTCCAAACGGACTCGAATTGTCCCAATAATGGCTTAGACATTTGCGTACCGCGATTTTAGACTCCTTAGCTAGAAGCGCGGGGTTTTTCTGGTCATGGTTGACAGCGGTGATGGATGAGGAAGACTTGAATATCTCTTCGATCCGTGATTTGAGTACTGTGATGGAAAGAATATCAATTTCGGATCGTAGAGAGGTTGGTTTCCATTGTGAGAGATTTTCGATGATGCGGTTGGGGAAAAAGGGATCGTGCGTGCCGAGCTTCTTCCCCGCGCTGGATATCTGTGGTTGGCCTTTTGCGTCGAGCATGGTCCCTGGCATAGGACGCGAATGCGTGAGAAGTGCGCTTGCATCTGTGATGAACTTGGCTACGCGTAGCTTCTCATGCGTGACGATGAAGTTACAAGACGGGCATGGCTCTTGAAAGTGTTTGCCGGAGAACCCAGTATCATTTTCTAGGTACGACTCAAGCGCTTCTGGCCCAGAAGTGACTGGAGGGCGAGTCCAGGGGACAGCGAGGTTCCTGCAACATTTGGGGCAAGGAAGGGCGGTCTTGAACCTGCTTGCAAATCTGCCGTCGTCGGTGCTTTCCCAGGGTAGTCCGGGGCTCGACTCCCAATTGCGTCTCGCTTCGTCGGGGGGGTTGTATGCGAATGTTTCGGGGTCGATGGAATTGTATATTAGCTCCCAGGGGAACAATGTCGCCCACATTTGTTGATGAGACATCCGCATACAGTCTTCGAGGTAAGCACGTGGGTTTAACAAGTAAGCGTGCCACACCATCAAGACGTCCAATGGTGGGAGTCTAGAGGCGACGAACTCGCTGCTGAGCCCCTCTCCCGTGGCGAGAAACCAGGCTACTCGGCCGGTAGCCTCAGTCGAATCGAAGTCAGTCGTGCGGATGGGAAAGGTGGAAATATCCGGCCTCAAGGGCAGAGTGGTCCACCATTTTTCAAATCGATCCACTGCTCTAGTGACGAAGACCGCCCACCTCTTCTCCCGAATGCGTTCTGCTAGATTCACCCGAGCCTTCTCTTTCTCGCCCAGAGCTTGTCCGCCAGCCGCTGTCTTAGAAGGATTGGCCTGATGCGCCTCAGGCTGATGGCTATCATTCCTGCCATGTGCATTTCCTGGTTCGCCTTCTATTTGGGCCTCCAACATATCCCCCACCTTCTCAAGCTCAATTCCAAACAAACCATCCTGATTCCCAACCTCATGTCGCAACTTTGCAAACGCATGCAGCAGTTTCAGATGCGTAATGCACTCAGTTGGCGTTGGCATCTCTAGTGGACTTGGCGTGAAGTCCAGATTCTTAAGCCCTGAATCCATGGCAGGAGGTGGTTCTGCGGAAACATTCGATGAAGACGCCTGTTCAGAGGGTGGCTGAGATGAATAAGGTGGCGGCTCTGCATTCACTTTCTCCATCTCTCCGATGGCGAGAGAACGTCGCCAACTTTTCTCTTTCAGCTCTTTCTTCGACATATCTGCAGTCCTCGATGGAAAGCAACCTTGGAAGGAGATGGAAAGGGGATTGTATGTGGAAGAAGACACCAGATGAGCGGGTGATAGAGATACTCATCCAGGGAAGCAAGTCCGCAGGCCAGAACACGCTCTTAAGATGTCAGAAATCGCAAGGAAGCTCGCATACGTAGCTAGCAAACCCAAACTCTCCAGTCCAGCTAAACTCAAAGCACAGACCAGCCGGTGAAGCGTAACCGGGGCACTCTTGGACAAGGCTTAATTCTGAACAACATTTGAAGGACAACCGCGGCTAGCCTTGCAAATTGCACAACCACCACGAGCACATGATGGAGCCTGCAGCCTTGGTTGGCCAGGACATATCTAATGCGACCGAGAATGGAATGACATTTTGCATAACCGAATTCGAACACGAAGCATCTTCATGATCAGGTGTGGCGATGCTCGCGTATCTGCACATGGACAAGGCCATGAACTAATTCGTTTCCGCTTTCTGCCTCACCAAATCGCGAGCCCAAAGGTACCAAACTTCCGAAAATAAACGTGGCAATGCTACAGAAATAAAACTTAACAAAAAATATGTATATAAAAGAGAATTACAAGGCAAGTATCATCAAATATTACACTATCTCTACCGCCAAGCCCTCTCTCCTATTAGTCTGGATATAAGCCGGTTATTAATCTAATTGGTAGAAAATTAAATAACCAAAAAGCTTTGTTGTTCTACGTTTTTAAGCTTTAAGTAATCATTCTGCTCTGCTACATGCTTAATCTAGTCTTCCTTTTTCCCTATTGTAATTAAAGACAACGCGGTTGGGGGTGTTAAAATTACTTCTGCTGCGTGGTTTTTCCCTCTAAATTTAATTAGTGCTGCCAAGACCTTCTAAGCGAAGCCCGTAATCCTTCCTAATCGGGACTAGCCACCTTCTTCCTGGAAAGGAAGGCTAACCTGCTCGTATCTATACAGAAAGAAGTCTATCTTTGTACTGTTGCCATCTCGAAACGCGTTGTTAAAATTGGCCTAACTTTGGTGTTCTTCGCAGAGCGGAAATGAATTAATTCACTCTGGTGGGGAGGGGTGGAGGAAAAAGGAATCGGATGGGAGGGAAGAGGCTACTCAAAGATGCCTGGCTGCTTACTAAGACATGAATGGTCACGTGCCATTTAATCTAAGGATGCGTTTTATTCGAGGAATATGACTATTCTTTAGAGTATGGAAGACGTAATGCAAAGTCCTCAGCTAAATCAAATCTAAGATATAACCTCTAAGCCCCCTAATGTATACACCCTCTTTCCTCGGCCCGAAAGCCCACAAGCAAGCCCCCCTTTCCACATCCCCTCCTCACTGCCTCTTCTTAGCGCCCTCCTTCTTCGCTTTCTCCTTCGCCTTCTTCTCCGCCCTCGTATACCATGCCTCCGCCCCAATCCCCCCAAACACCAAGCTCACACCCAACCACTGCATTCTCGTAACCTGATGTCCAAACAACACCACACTCATCAACATGGTCAGCATCTTCCTGGTCACTGTCACCGTCACCAACAGCAAACTCGAAAAATGCGCCAACGTGTGAAAAATAAACACTTGGCCCACCGCCCCACAAGCTGCGAAACCAAGAACATTCCACCCGACAGCTGGGTACGTAGTCACAAAGTTGAGGGCTTCTTTCAGCTCGCCGCCGCCACCGCCGTTGATGCCGAGCCATTCACCGAGGGGTGTGTGCGAGATGTATGGTGAGAGGATGAGGTAGGAGACTGTGAGGGCGGTGCTCATAAGGTTTTGCGCGCACATCATTTGCGGGCCGGTGAAGCCTTTGAAAGTTCCGAAGATGTGGTCTTGTACGGTGTTTGTCAAGCCATCGAAAAGCAAGTTCACGCCCAGGAGGAATAAGCCTAGCGCTTTGGAAACATCGCCGTTCATCGACCCAGCTTTCTTTGCGGCTTTCTTGGCCGTGGAGGGGTGGTGGAGGGTGAAGATGGCGACACCCAATGTCACGCAGCCAATGACCATGTACTTGTATATTGGATACCGCTTTCGGAAGAGGGATATGTGGAGGAACATGACGGGAAGCAATTTACAGCTTTTGGCGAGGATAAAAGTGACATAGTCGAGGTGCTTTAGACTGGCGTATCCGAACGGACTTGCCAGCGAGGTTGTGACGGAGATCAAGAGCAGCGGGAAGAGGATTGATTGGGAAGGGAATATGGAAGGTATGCGCCGAGCGGAGGTCATGGGATCCCGAGGCGCGGAGATGTAGAGGTAAACAAAGCCAGTGAGAGCAGCGAAGGCGGACTGGATAGTGTTGAGGAATATGGAATACGTGAAGCGCGAGCGGTCAGGCCCGTAAGAGGTAGTTGTTATGCGCTCTTGGAGGTAGGCCCAGGACAGACTAAAGATGCTCGTTAGCAAGCTCAATCTCCAAAACGAGGGTCCACTCTCCACTCACAAGCTCGCATAAATCCCCCCAACACAGATGGCTAGCGCGAGCAGCCCCGCCTGCTTCTGCTCATGCTTCTCCCTTGCTGCCAACTCTGCCACCCTTTCTACCTCCATTCCTAGCGTCTGCGTGAAGCTATTCCGCCGATGCGCCGTGCCGTTGCCATTGACGTGATTGAACGTTTCCGAGGGCTCACGGCGCATCGGCGTGCGTTGTTTCGTTCGTGCCATTGAGCTGCTGTGTCGAGTCCGATGTGTCGGCCCCGGAGTTATTATTTGAGCCTTCAGATGGGATCGCGGCGGGCGCGATAAGTCACTGGCGCGAGTGCGTGTGTGGAGAGTGAGTGACGAGGTTGGGTAGGGTTGTCACAGAAGTGAGAAAGAATGCGTATCACCGATCCATTGAGTCAAAGGGCTGATGTGAGCTTGAAGTCAGGAAGGTGGTGATATCGAGCTTAAATGATTCGGCCATGGCAAAGGGAGAGGTGGCTTCAAGGCACATTTAGCTCGGACTTAAGCCAATGCCCCCCCCTGCTGAGATGCAGGCAGGCATGAGCGGCACGAGCCACGCTCTAATCTCAGCCTCAGCCGCATCGGCATCACCCCACGCACGGATATTCGTGTATTCATATCTCATTTTCAACGTCTTCGCCACTCGCATTACTACTCTACATAGCTAGGTAAAAACAATCTGCCAACTGCAGCAATACCTCTGCAATCGCCAACCGACCACGCCGACATGAGGGTGGGTGTGTGAGAGTAGGTAAACGGGAAGGAAGGGTTGATGATGATGGCTATCGGAAGGAGAGATATGAAGCGGTCGTAAAGGAAGTCCATGTCAAGGAGTGCGGATAACAGAGGATGGGAAGGGGTGTGGGAAGGGGTGAGGGAAGGTGTGAGGGAAGGTGAGGGGAGGTATGAGAGAGAGTTCGGTAAGAGGTTCGGTTTGTGTTCGGTCTCGGAGAGAGTGTGAGCCCAAATTCGCCTCTGGGGCCACCGTCTTAAGAAAACAAAAACAGCTTGACTGCTGCAACTGCTTCGATTATACCCCGTCGCAAGCAGAGGTGCGGATATCAAGGCATAAGTCATGAATCGTGAGCCGCTCAATTTGCAGGGAAGTGTCGAAGAAGAAGACAATAAGAGTGTTAAAAGAAAATAGGCCCAGCCATGACGTCCATCGGTAGGCGGAGGGAAAGAATTAAGGTAGTCGCTTTTGTTGGCCAAGGTGGACATCAGGGTCAGGGTCAGGGTCAGGGAGATGGAGCCAGACCAAGGGCCAGCGCAGAGTACAAAAGACCCTAAATACAATTTAGGACTTGACCCTTTCTACCGGCACCCTTGTCCTGCTCAGAGAACCCTCAAACTAGTCCTCCAAGTTGAAATATGCGTCTAGTCCTGAGACTGGCTGCGGCGCATCTTCTCCGCCTCCAGATTCTCGTACAACAAGTACAAAGCCTTTTCGTTGCTACTGGCACTGCCAGTAATTGTAAACATGCGCTCGCCCGATTCGTCATGGGGGGCTTTGGCGATGGAGATGCGAGCGCCGGAACTCTTGCGGATTTCGCTAATCTTGCTTCCTCCGCGTCCGATGATACAGCCGACCATGTCCGAGGGAATACTGATGTTTTGCGTCTGCATCTCCTCGCCGTCTTCGGTGTGAGTAGGCGGCGGGGGTCGACTGGCGGCATCGGATCCAGATCGTCGATTATATGTCGGCGGTGCATCACTGAAGTCGGCACCATGACCGGTGCGGTTGTAGGAACGTCCACCTCCCAATGCGGCGCCGCTTCCACCATTTGACAATGGGCCACCACCCGGTTGGACCCTGGAAGCGGGGTTGTACAGGACAGTACCATAGCCACGTTCAGAGTCATCAATCAAGCACTTGCCGATTTCCCAGACGGCCTTCTCGATGCCCTGCGGGGAGCCTTGGACTTCGACGATACGCTCGGTGGATTGGGGCAGCATCTCCTTTTGCGCCACCATCCGTACGCCAGACGTGTCCTGAATCTGCTTGATCTTCAAGCCCTGTCGGCCAATGATAGTGCCCATCTGGTTGTGTGAGATGAGGAGGCGGATGGCTAAGTGAGAGCACGTTAGCATTCGAAGCTTCTCCCCTGCGCCACGGTTTCGCAGTGTGGCGATGCCGTGACAAGACTACAATACTTACGATGGGTGCCATCGCTCCGAATCAGACCACCCATGCCCATCTGGGGTGCACCTTCCAGAAGTCCTTTGGCGACGAGTCCATATGCCTTGGAGATGCCCTGGAGCGAGCCAGTAACGGAGAGCACGCGGTCGTGGACCCCCTGGACGACCTTACTGACGCCCGCGCGAACACCAGTCTCGTCGCGTAGGTCAGCAACGTTCTTTCCCGCCTTTCCTATGATAACACCGGCTTCTTTGGAAGAGACAATGGCGCGCAGGGTCAGTTGCGCTTCGGCATACTCTTCTTCGGTTCGCGGTACAGCGTCACCGCCATCGCTGACGCCGAATTTGTCAAATGATTCAGTGATGCGGCCGACATCCTGAGAGGATTGCTGGTGCTCCTCGGCGGACATGTTGTAGAAATGTCCTAGGGGTGGTGCTGCAGGGGTGTCAGTGACGTAAACACGGGCGTGCAGGATACGGAGCTCACTTACTGGGGTGAGTCGTGGGGGTGGGAGGGGAGAGGGAGAAAGACGCGTGGGAGGATGCGTCCTGACTATCGCGTGCAGTGTTAGTGCATTGTAAACACGCAGCAGACGAATCCCGCAGAGCAAGCACCTACAGAGCGAGTCGCGGAAGTGGCGGGGGAGGTGGTCGGTGCGGATCGAAGAGTGAGTTGTGAGAGGAGTAGGTGGAGGACGGGAGGCGGGAGGAGGGCGGAAGAGAAGTGTGAGGAGGGGAGGGGAGGGTCGAGAGAGCCGTGAGGAAGTGTGGTGCGGAGGGTGTTGAGGTGACGATGTGTCGCTGGGGGCAGACAAAGAGAATATTTGGCTGGCTGTCGTAGTTGCGTTTTAGCGAGCCAGGCGGACCTTACCGCTGTGGGCTTTTGCAGCAGTAGCGGCCTTGAATGGAAGATTGGCCGCGCTGGGTGTCGTGCAGACGCCGGGGCCTTAGTCGACGGGTTGCAGTCGAGGTGAGTGCTAGGCCACACTCTGGTGAAGGCTCAGGCTCTGCATTCTTGAGAAGCTGGAGCTCGACGCGCGCATTCGCCTTGCTCTGCAAAAGCAAGCCCTGCCTGACCCCGCAGCGCACGGCCACGAAAACGGCCCTCTGCTGCGCTGGAATCCCACGATGGCTGCATGCACAGCGCAGCAACAGCTCCCAATGGACTCTGCAAACTCCCGTGAATTGGCCAACGGCTGCACGTTATTCTACAATTCACCAGTGCCTGATTCCAATTGGCCGGGCGGTCCACTATTCCCGCCTTCCATTTTCACACATGCGACAGGACCAGGTCCATCACAAACATCAGCACCCCATTAGCACGCTCCCCAATTCCAGCAAGAGGTCTGGTCATCACTTCTGAGCCTCAAAGACCACTTTCTGTGCCTTCATCTTATCAAACAGATCATATCCCTCAACGGCATCCGTAAGTGGCATGATCTTATCATGCATGAACCTGCTATTGTTAGCCATCACTGGACAAGCAACATTCGGCAACCTCACCCGAGTAGATCCTGCTTCTCCCTTAGCTTCTCCAGTGCCTGTGGAAAGATGCTTCGAACCGGACACCTGCCCATTTGGATCCTCAAATTCTTTCCATAAGCCTCATTACCGGTCCACGGGATTTCCCCATTGTGCACGCCGACGCTAGAAATCACACCCCACGGCCTTAACAAGTCAAATCCTATTTTGAGTGCCGGGCTCAGACCGACGACCTCCACAACCGCGTCTGCCCCGCGGCCGTTGGTAAGCTCCTTGACGCGCTTCTCGAGGCCTTCGCGGTCGTTTTGGAAATTCCACGGCTCTGCCCCGAGGGATTTTGCGAGGTCGAGGCGCGATGGGATGGAGTCTACGGCGAGCAGATGCTTGGGCTTGAAGTCCACGAGGTTAACAAGCGCGCAGAGGGCAACCGGTCCGCAGCCTATCAGGACGACTGTGCTCTCCTTGACTTCTTCGGGAGACATCTCTTTGAAGGCGTTATGTGCGGCAAAGTATCCGGTGGGGAAAATGTCGGCCATGAGGACGAGTGCTTCGTCTTTTATGCCTTCTGGTGCTTTCATAACAGTGGAGTCGGCCAAGGGCACTCGAACGTACTCAGCTTGTCCACCATCTAGAATCGTGGTTCCAAAGAGCTGGCCTTTTGCACAGCGCGAGGAGAACCCATGTTTACAGTAAAAGCATTCTCCACAGGAAACGGTAAAGGGTGAGACAATGCGATCGCCTTTCTTGATGGTCTTGACATCGCTTCCAACTTGTTCTACGTTTCCGGTGAACTCATGGCCCATTATGAAATCGGTAGGGCTGGGCTGATGGCCCCGATAGACATGAAGTTCACTGGGAGCGATGTTAGACAATGCAAGTCAAATCCGGTGATGAGCCATACCTGCCACATAGTGCTGTCTATTTTATGTTAACGTTGTTAAGTCATTCCGAGCAGCGCGACATACCTTTTCCACCTTGACTATGATATCTCCTGGGTCTCTTATTTTGGGAATAGGCCGGTCCTCAATGACGACCTTTCCAGGGCCTTTGAACACTACCGCTTTCATTGTATCCTTCACCATTTTGCAATGCTGCTAATAATAATAACCTGCAAGGTGTCACCAGAAGGAATTAGTGAGTCTTTTGTGTAATTTCGAAAGAACGCAAGGCCGAGCCAACTAAAGAAACAGCCAGAAGGCGGCACAGGTAGATAATATACAAGATCCCGCTTGATGAGGAGGGCGACCTGGAAATAAAAGCATTTCCACGGATTTGTAGGGTTTGAGCTGATGATGGAGGGGTTTGCATCCGCTTCCATGTTCCCCGCCGAGGCAACGAGATCAGACTGCGGGGTACAGGCACTGCCAAAGCCCACCTCGATTGAAAGCTGGGAACCGCAGGTTGGGAAATTGATAGTATTCGTGGAGTCTCCTCGTGTCAGCGCCTCAGGGGGCAAATCCCTGGAGACACTCTGTCATTGTCACCTAGAAAAAGAGAGGTAAAACCTAATCCACATACCAAATTCCAAACCCAAACCCAAGGTCTCGTACCATTCCTGTGCTACGCCTTGAAACCCTACGTAGGGTGAACCCCCTAGATAAACACCTGTTCGCATACTCCAAACCCAGTGTCCTGTGGACGCTGCCAAAAAAAAAAAAAACCCCTCAAAAAAACTCCAGCTAAATGCATTTCCCGTGCTAAGTAGACATGCTGACCTGCCGAATCTAACCACGGCGGCCCTTAAGTCACTGTGCAGAGTAGCTCCGCCTCGAGGATGAACTTCCCCTCCTTGTACTTCTCCGACGCCTCATACGCCTTGTCATACTTCCACCCCACCGTCTCCTTGCACTGCCGGCAGTGTATATCCCGCACAATGTGGCGGCCAGTCGTCATGTTGCGTTCATTGGGCTCAGATTCGGTGACGTTGACAACGCTGTCGAAGAGGTAGGCTTTGCCGTGTTGGCCACGGAAATTCTGACAGGCTCGTCAGCTTCAGCTCGTCACAATCGCACAGAGGGAAGGAGCTTTGGTGGAACATGGAACTGACCCTGCTAAGAATATCGTCATGATTCGACAGGTGTGTCTTGCAGACCTTACACCCATAGATGCGAGAAGAGTTGAGGTAGATGTTGTATGCTAATCCCATGGTGGGCGTTTGCGACAACGGAGCCAGAACTTGATAAAAGTGAACAGTGTACAAGAGCAGTATGAGAAGACTATATTGAGAGGAGTGTTCGCTGTGAAGGGGGCGCAGAGACGAGGGTGGAGAGTGGTGGCCGGGTGCTACGGTAATGGTTTATTTGTGAGCCCTGAAGGCGGAATAGTAGAATGTTGAAACACTGCAAAGCCCTCTCTCGGTGGCAGATAGGAATGTGACCCTCGATGCTTGTCAGTCCACCGGTGCACCTGCCCTAGCGCCGCCTTCGTCCGTGTGACCCGCAATGGAAGGTGAAAGAGTAAGCGGAGGCTGGCAGACTTCCACGGCTTGAGCTGTGAGGCACTGCTTACACGTATGAACGCGGGATTTGGCTGCTGGCCGGAGTGAGGAAGCTTGGAAGAAGACACGGCGGGGAGCTTGAGGCTGAGTGCTCTTCAAGGCTAGCCGTGGAAGCTTTGGCGCACCAAGTCACGTGTGGATAAGGATAACTCAGCTTCTAGACATTTCAGGGCTTACTCTGTAGTCAGTGAACAAGGAATGCCGGCAAGAGGAGGATTAAATAGCAAGATGTAGCGTGGCGGCGAGACGGGAGTGCAATCAATGCAGATTCCGATACAAACGACAACCTCTCTCAATAACGGCGGCGATATGGAACGCAGGCTCGGCACAATCGAGCAATATTACCACGCAGGAGGAGTAAGTTACCTAGGTGGTGAGCGTTTCCAGGTCAGACAAATGATGTGATGGAGCAGCAGACAAGTCACGACTGCAGTGCCCGTTGCCAGGTGAGTGTTTTGATGGCACCCAACCACCTCATCTCGGATTGGTCTAAAGGCCTGGTGATCCACAGTTGCTTTTGGGGAGATTTGCAGTCAGGCCAAGCGCGCTGCTACCATTCGGCCGTGGATGGAGAGCCAGTGAAGGGGGGGTTGCACGGCGGGGGAGAATATGTCGAGGCGAATAGTAGGAGTGCAACGGCCTCAGAGCAGGCTGGATGCTGCATTTGGAGAATTTGATGGAGCTGCAGGGAGTGTTGTGTTGGCCGTCAGCCAGCAGCGCCAATCCACCATTATCCCAGCCTCAGCCCTCCCCCCAGCACAGGGTGCACGCACCAGCGCGGCTTTGATACCGAGCTGTGGTAGTTTTCCTTCGCGGATAATACCTCCGCCATAGAATGTTCTAGCAACCTTTTTGTGTGCAGCGACATCCTGAGCCGTCTCTATCGGTCCGCCTTCAACCAAAGTTGCAGCAGCATAGTCCCGGCTCCAACAGTTACACCAAAATCATTTATCCACCCATGCCGAACCTTCCCTCGCTCTTCAACAAATCCTCTTCCAAAAAGTCCAAGCACCATCCCGCCCCGAAGCTGACTCCAGGATCCGGTTCGTCCCACAACCCAGGAACCCCTCCCTCGTCGCCCGACAAAAAGGGCTTCCACAAGGTCAAAGAACGTGATCGAGAGAGCCGTCGCTCCAGCTCATACTCTTCAAAGCGCTCGTCCAAGTTCGACCGTGACTCCCACCCACTCAACCTCCCACCCGACGAGCTACGGCGGCTGTCTGCCATGTCCCAGATGAGCGACCAGCCCACCCCCCAGCCCATGGACCTGGACAGGGAATTCACGTCCTCGCCCACGCCCACACCGTCCAGCCCCGCGACAGCACAGGCTCCGGGCGCCTTCCCCAAGACCAACGGCAGCAACGGCGACCACGAGGCCAGGCCCGCTCCTCCCCCTCACAGATACACCACCAGCCCACCGCCGCAGTCTGCAACCTACGCTGCAACACCAGAGGCCGCGTCACCGCCCGCTCAGCCGCCCACGATAGATGCTGAGTCGTACAAGACCGCTGGCAACAAGTTCTTCAAGATCAAGGACTATGCCCAGGCCGTCAAGGAATATTCAAAAGGTGTGCAGTGAATTTTCTATCCCGTCTTACCCGAGTCGTGTGCTGCCTTGTGTCACGGCCATGGCACGACCACCTCACAGTGCATTATCGCTAACTCTTTTTCCTCCTCCTAGCCATCGAAGCCGACCCCAAGAATGCCACCTATTATTCCAACAGGGCAGCCGCCCTCATGTCTGCGAACCGCTACGTTGAGGCGTTGGAGGACTGCAAGACTGCCGATGACCTGGAGCCCGGCAACATGAAAATTCTGCTGCGGCTTGGGAGGCTGTACACCAGCCTCGGGCGGCCGGATGAGGCCCTCGCAGTGCTCAGCTCGATCCATCCTCCGGCAACGGCCAAAGACATGCAACCAGCTGTCAGCATGCGGCAACACATTCGGCAGGCAGGAGATATTCTGCATTCAGGAGGATCCGGCTCGTTGGTCGTACACGCACTAAACCAGGCTGAGCGGGGCCTGGGAGCTGGTGTGGACAGCCCGAGAAAGTGGAAGCTGATGAGGGGAGAAGCACATCTGAAGATGGGCAATGCTAATGCACTCGGGGAGGCACAGAATATAGCTATGTCATTGCTGCGGAACAACAACCAGGATCCTGATGCTTTGGTGTTGAGAGGACGAGTGCTCTACGCACAGGGCGAAAACGAGAAGGCCATCCAGCATTTCAGACAAGCGTTGAACTGCGATCCCGACTTCAAGCAAGCCGTGAAATATCTGCGCATGGTCCAGAAGCTGGAGAGGATGAAAGAGGAGGGGAATGTTGCATTCAAGACCGGGAAGCTCCAGGCGGCCGTCGATACATACACAAAAGCCCTAGAAGTGGATCCGTCGAACAAGAACACAAACTCGAAGATCCTCCAGAACCGAGCCTTATGCTACACGAAACTAAAGAACTGGAAGCCCGCAATTTCTGACTGTAACAAGGCTCTCGAGCTCGATCCTGGGTACACCAAGGCTCGGAAAACGAAGGCAAAGGCATTAGGGGAATCTGGGAACTGGGAAGAGGCGGTTCGGGAATTCAAGGCAATCCACGAAGCAAATCCATCAGAGCCAGGTATCGCCAAGGAAATTCGCAACGCTGAACTGGAGCTGAAGAAGAGCCAAAGAAAAGACTACTACAAGATTCTAGGTATCAGCAAGGATGCTTCAGATCAAGAAATCAAGAAGGCGTACCGCAAACTCGCAATCGTACATCATCCTGACAAGAACCCGGATGATGATCAGGCAGCGGAGAGATTCAAGGAAATCCAGGAAGCACATGAAACTTTAAGCGATCCTCAGTATGTTGAATTTGACCTATTTGCGATTTTATTAGCTAACATAGTCAGAAAACGGGCTCGATACGATTCTGGTGAAGATCTTGTTGATCCTGCGGAGATGTTTGGTGGCGGTGGATTTAGTGGTGGGATGGGCGGCCAAAGCATCGACCCCGAAATGCGTACGTTCAACAGATCCAACATTCCAACACAGTACTCATCATTTCGCAGTGTTTAACATGTTTGGCGGCATGGGTGGAGGCCGTCCAGGCGGCGGCGGCTTTTCCTTTGCAACGGGCGGTGGAAGTCCTTTCCCGGGAATGGGGGGTATGCCTGGAGGCGGCGGCCGACGAGGCCAGCAATTCCCCGGTGGCTTCCCATTCTAAGTCATTCTTTCTACATCGCATGGCTTATTCCACGTCTTGCATAATCTCGGGCTCGAAATTTTCCATTCGTGTCTATAATAAGACCCCACACACGCACAAACACGATCTCTTTTTCTCGACAAAACTCCTCGTCTGGCGTTGGGTATCACGGAATAACCAAGTGTGAGCTACGGTGGCGGCTTGCGCGAGATATAGACTGCTGATTCTGTCTGATTTCCTTTTGTCTGGCTCCCCCAGAACGATTCCGACATCTGCACTGTGGCATGTCCTGCATCCACCAGCTTCGTTGACTCCTCAACCATCCATCTAAGCTATCCATAAACCTTCCTCGGCATTGTCTGGCGTCTTGTCATTCCATTCCTTTCTTTCAACTTGTAGAACAAGATCACTGAGGTGGTCGAGATACGAAAATCCATGATTATCCTCTCATCCTCCTAAAAACTGTGATAGGGTGAGGCAGAATGGAAGGTACTGTTGATGACTAATGCGTTCCGTTTACCACTATGCCGAATAGAGAATAGTCAGCAGGCATCTTGGCGTGCGTAACTTGACTTCACGAATTTCGATGCATTCAAACACTTAAACGCAACAGAACGCTCATTGAAGCCAAACTGCAAGCAAGCCCTATATTAGGATTCAGGCAAATTGAACAACTTGCACCCGAAGTTCACTCACGTTTCGAGTCGTCCACGAATTAAAAATTCCTCAGATTCAACTAACAACGACACTCCAATTGTCTTCAACCATTATGGCACAAAGACCCTACAGAGCCAGAAACCGACCACCCAGACGAGGAAATTATATCCCAAACCGCAGCCCCAGCCATCCCCCACTCTCAAACCCTCTTTCCAATCCCCCCTCAAATCGTTATCCCCAATCCCAATCCATTCCCTCCTTCGCCTTCCTCACTCCCGGAACACCCGTCTCCATGATCCTGAAACCCGACCAGCCTACCGGCTACCAAGTCCGCGGCATCGTCGCAGATATTTTAACAAGAGGTGACCACCCCAGAGGCGTGAAAGTAAGGTTACGAGATGGACGCGTGGGACGAGTGCAGGGTGTTGTTTCTGAAGCGGAGGGGTTGATTGGAGAGAGTTTGGTTGGAGGAGAGAATGCTGGGTTAGGGCGAGATGGGGAGTCTGTGGCTGTGGGGGAAAGAGCTGAACGGGGAGAGAGAGGAGGAAGGGGAAGACGAGCGGTGTTCAGACATGTTTCTGATGTGCGAGATGACAATGGGTATTTGTGGGACGAAGAGGCGGCTGGGAAGCGGAACCTTGGGACGTATTTCACTGGCCTAGAGGAGCTTGAAGCTCTAGGTAACACCGCCTCGCCCACGAACCAACAGCACGTTCCCACGCGCCAGCTTGAGCTTCAGACCGAGACAGTGAAATGCCCCGTCTGCGGCGAGTTCGAAGGCGATGAGACCGCCGTGCAGCATCACGTTGAATCGCATTTCCAAGATAGTGCCTGAGTTAGTTGATTTAGAAATATGGTTTGGAATTGACTCGTAGAGAAGAATGATGTGATACCCAAATACTGGTAACTCAACAATCATTGAGAGAGGTAATATACTGAGGGCTCCAGATACTACTCCGTTCAATCCACCGAGATAACAATAGCTCTGTCCAGTCCATTGACCAAGGCCTTGGAGAGATAGAAATAAAGCCACCACCCATCCATGTTTCCATGACAGAACCACCCATGTTGCCAAAACCCACCTTAATAATGAAAGAGCAAAACAATGGTGATAACACCACTCGAAGATCCTCCAACCAGACATCTAGGGTAGAGAAAGAGTGAAGGAAAAGCAAGCCAAGAGGTTTCGTGCGTCGCCCGAGAGCCGCCAAAGCCCTCCAACTATGCAATGTAGAGAAATGATGAAAGAAACCCCAGATGTGTCTGCCGGGAGTCATGCATAGCCGCCCCGTTTACCCAATGCCCTAGATGAATATGATGTGATGTGATGCAGAGTGAAATAAAGGGGAAAGTAAGAATGTCAAGCCGCGCAAGGCAGAGATATGCAATGCAAGAAGGTTGTTTCAAGCGGCCATATCGTCACTAATTGCTTAGACGTCCGGTATTGATATCCGTGAAGAAGAGTTAGGCCATCACTTATGGTGCTTGGTGTTGTTGTCGGCGGCGTCGTTAGCAGCTTTACTCATAGCGTTCGCCTCTGTTTCGCCCTCAGCAAGAGCTCTGGCCCTGACCTCGTCGATCTGCTTCACTATGAAAGAGTTGGTGAGTTGCCACAGTAGAGAAGAAGCCTTAGTACCTACGTCGCTTCCTGTCGGTGCCGTCTTTCAACTTCGATCCCAAATCCCACATCCTCTCTCGTCCCTGCTCAAGCGCATCGTAAAATTCTGGCTCATCCTGCGCAAGGCGGTAGAGCTCATTGGCAGCCTTGACAGAGTGTCCCTCGTAGTCGATGTCCGGATTGACTTCATGGAGCCACTCAAGAGCCGCAACAGCGTTGCCCATAGCGGTGGCGTAGGATGCGACACGCTCCTTCATCTGGTGGTTCTCCCAGGCGTAGATGGCGTTCTCGTTCTCCAAGTGGTCTTGGAGGGGCTTAAGTTTGTTGACGAACGACATCCGTCCAAATTGGAGTTGGAGGCGGATGCCCTGGTCCTCGAGGCCGCGTTCGAACGCGTCCGGGAGGATGGGAGGCATGACGAACCCCTGCCTTTCAACGGGAGCCGCCATTACCTCCTCCCTGGACTCTGGCACTGGCGGGAGTACCTTGTCGAGGTCTGGTAGGCAAGGCTGGGCAGGAGGGGCAGAGAGGGGGGAAGTAGGAGGGGAAGGAGGGGGTAATGGTTTGTTCGACTTACGCATGCGGAGGAATGCCAACATTTTGGCGCTGTTGGTAGCGGCGAGGTTGGTGGCGAGACTGGGAATGAATTTGAGGTTAGGTTCTGGGTGCGGAGGTGAGAGGATGGGTTTATATGTGCGGATTTGGAGTGGAAGATATCAAAGTTTCGCTGAGGTGAATGTGGGCTATTTGGCGGTGAGATGGTGAAAGAGTGGATATATGGCAGATTTGAGCAGTTTGTTTTTGGAGGGCAGGTAAGCCATGGCAGGGAATATTGGGAGTGGCGGTCAAACTTTCCACACTCTTGAGCTGTGTCTAGTTGATTGTCAGAGTAGCCAGTCAGTTGTACGGTGCATTAGCTTCAAATTATTAAGAGATGTTAGTTAGGAGCAGCAACCATGTCTCTGAAGGACAGGTAAAAGATGAAAATGGAGTGTAGGAGCGGTGGACAAACCTTCGGATCTTCTAAACTGTGCTTAGTAGATTATTAGAGTGATCTATTAGATGAGCGTTAAACTTGACACTGAATATGAAGAGTGTTACAAAGGAGCAATAGACATATTCCTAAAGGGCTGACAAAAAGAATGTCAGTAGCTTAAACTGTAATTGTAGACTTTTCAGAGGCCCAACCTTCTTTTATGGCAATATCAGAGTAATAGCAGTGCAGTAGAGAGCATTTTCTAGGACAGGTTAGAAAACTTAGCCGGGTTGCACTAATTTAAGGACACCTATAATGACCTTGTAAGATTCCTTGGCTAGTGTTACATAGCACTATCGCCCCTTCAAGAGGCCTGCCGGGGGTGGGTTTAACAGCGGAAGGATGTAATTATCTGTAACATAGCAACGGTACATTGGCAACTGAATGGCACTCTATGCTGCATGTTCTCTGAGTAAAGCCTGGTGAGTTATCAAAGCACTAGTTCTCACAATTGCGGTGCAACAGTAGCTTGATTAACGTTACGAAATAGTCGTAATACTTTGAGAGGCTTCCTGGCTTGAATAGCAGAAGTAATAGAGCTCCTACGTTGCGCTTAGTCCCTCATTAAGAGAACTTAGGGGACTTAAAGTGCTACTTAAACCTGCAGGAACAGGGCAGAAGTGTTTACCACCTTAATATAATGCTAAGTGTTGGCAAAAGGTCTAGTGAGCTCCGGCTGAAGTGATAGAGCCCCAGCTATACTTCAGAGGCACTATTGACTTGCTTTAAGAACAGCTAGTCAGTTCAGCGCAACGAACGACACAGGCGACGTAGAAAGGATGGAACAAGTTAGTGATGAGGAGGGCGAGGAGGGAGCCGTAGGAAATGTCCGTTTGTTACCTATAGTGGCCCATGTAAAATGTAGTTTGTGCTCGGCCTTATCCTCCATGAGATGCAGGGGTTCTTTGGTGTGCAACCTACTCCAAATTCCAGGATGAGCAGTCTAATTTAATAAAAAAAAGAAGCTGGCCTTCTCGTTGAGAAAGGTATCAAGTCTTGAGATTTAAATCTCGACTGAGTATGATGCGACGGGCATCTTGGTGCATGATAGAAGGGGAAAGCGGGCCGTGATGGTTCCATAGTCCGGTTTGAAGTGATTTAAGCACTAGAAATTCTTTTATTGGCGTTGAGACGTAGATCGTGGAGATTAGAAGTTGACATGCCTTTGGTTGGCCGGCAGATGTAGGTTGATGCACAGGAAGGCGCCTACCAAAGTTAGGTGTTGCTGGATAGCGAAGCGCCCAGATCATGATTTGATTTTTAAACCCCTAGGTGCTCTTTTGGTAGTAGTTCGGATAAGTTGATAGAAGAGATTTGGGGGCCATTGCAACATCGGTAGTTTGGGATGAAAGAGAACGAGAGACACAAATTTGAATAGAAACGAAGCATGATTCAACTCTGTTTGCGAGAATCGCAAAATGCATGGGTAAGCCTATGCAGTTGAGCTCAGTGATTCAAAATGAACACCCAAGAGTTAGAAAACAAACTTCCTCGGTAACCTGAGCTCTAGGCCTGTTAACACTCTGGGAATCCCTTCCGCACTTTTCCTATTCCGCCTCAAAAGCTCACTCCGCCGCGCACAAGGACTTTGAGCCTGGATTATGCTCGTGAAGAGTCGTTAAATATTTGCCCGATCCCTTAAGCGTTCATCATTCTAATTGTCTCCTACCTGGCCCACCTCCTCCTTCTCGCCCCGCCACCAAACCCTACATCCCGAATCAAATCTAACACCATTACAAACCAAAATGTCTTAATATGACCCCAAGCCCACTGTTTTCTACTCCTTGGCGTAACCGCCCAACCCACGGCCCACAAAATCCCTACGACTCCTAAAACAATCGCTCTTCGGACATACTCCATGCCCGGCAACATCACATACTTTCCTCCCCATTCCGCTACGCAAAGAGCACCAATTTCAATAACGATGTAGAAATAGTAGTCTTTGGGATGGTAAAAAAATGCCACATCCGAATTCTTAGAAGAGTCTTGTCTAGCTTGCGCTCCGCCCATCCGGCCATTCGAGACGTAAGAATCAGATCCTTGGGCTACCGGATTCGGTAGTGAGATGGCTATCGGGTGCGTGCGACCGGCAATCGCGAATTGGAAGTATAAAGCGCATAGGAGTGCGATACCGGCGATGAAGCGGTCGATTAGGAATGCACCTTCGATTTCTCCAATTAGCCAGGAGATTGGTGTGAAAGGGATAGCGGCAGTCCAGAGGAGAATTGCGACAGCGATAGAGAGAACTTGGCGCCGCATTATAGAGCTAGCGGACGGCGGAGACGGTGGCGGGGCGTATGTTCGTGTCATTTTGGGTAGTTGTAGGCTGGAGAGAATATGGCGTTGTTGTTCAATTCGAAGAGTTGAATGGAGGGTGGGGGCCGTAGAAAAGGAAATGAGACCTTTGAGTCGCTAGGGTGGGATGGCTGCCTAAGTTATATAGTCCGTTGTATTACGGCGTTGCCTTGGTGCAAGGCCTGCACCTTTCCCAATCCGGGCATGTACGATCCTTCCAAGTTCACAGCCACGTTTCAGCATAGATTAGCACACCTAGTCATATCCGTTCTTGAAAGTTGTCGCTTGGAAGACCTCTTTTGGCTTTCCATTTGCTTTCTGTCGATCGATCGTGGTTGTCGTCCCGTCATTCGATACACTCCCATCAATTACGGACACTCAAACGTGGATCTCCGCTCGCTCTTGAATAGACCTATTCTTCCCCCGAATGTCGTTGAGTGACATAAACAGTTCGCCTACACTCATCTGTTAGTATTGCTGCACAGCAAAACATATCCAGCCAGTTTCAAGTAATCTGGCCAAGAAACATGGGAACGTGCCCATGATATCCATTGTTTGGGTGCAGATTCCTAAAATTTTGGAAGGTTACACTTGGTGAGCGGCATCATCAGGAACCAACCCCTATATTAGGTGTAGTTGGCGAGAAGTAGCATGATGTGATTATCGTTTTAGTGTTGAAGTTGGTTTGGAGGTATTGCCCTGCGCCTGGACCATTTGATCATGCCGTCAGCGAATCTTTTCGGGCCATTTCCAGGCAGCGATTTGGATTTGGTTGAAAGATTCTCAAACAAGTTTAGATTGTGCGATCGTCGATAATTTCTTTAATAACGCGTTAGCCCACAAACAGTAAGAGACGCATAGAATGTAGGCCTAGATGCTTCCTGGGAGTAATGAATTCCGTTAGTAAAGCGAGCCACAGAAACATTTGGAACTTCCTTTGACTTTTAGCTGAGTAGCTATTTTCCAACAGATTCGTGTTTTTAAAATTAGATTGATAACGAATTTTCAACTTCACAAAAATAAATATATGTCAATACTCTTCTGCAGCCAACACAGGAAAGGACGTGCCAGACTAGTGTCGCGACAGGATGGAGAGTATGTTTTGGTCCAAATTTGAGTATAGAAGGATAGCGAACAATTATGAGGCGAATTCGGAGATACACCGACTCAGCTCCCCCACTGCATCTGTTAGATTGTCAGCGTCTCTAAGTAAGGTAATAATATTAAGGGCATTACGCTGGGGAGATACATCCCCCAACAAAATGATCCTTGCATACCGCTCGAGATGTCATGTAATGAATATTGGCGCAAATCATACTTCGTAGACTGAAGCATGGCGTAGCTCCGCCGACGTCATAGAAGCGATTATATGAAGGACTATTCCTCTCCTTAGTCTCCTCGACTTCTGCTCTTGAATTCGGTCTCCTCTGAACTCTTCTCGACAATAAATCCAAGAGAAAGGTTTCGTAGGATATCAAGGACCTAGAAGTCATTCTCCAACTGTAGTGGGTTAGATGCTTGATAGGATAGTTGAAGTTTGGTTTACCATGTAGCCGTATTGTCCTTGCCCGAATAGTTTGTTGAGATACTCCTCCAGTTCGCGTCGCCGAGTCCAACGACGATTGGTGGCTTGACATACCATTCCGGACCATTTCAACAAGAGTCTAGTCGGGCTGGAGACGGAACTGCTAGGTTCACGAGATTCGCTATTAGGTATAGACATAGTCCACTGAAATGCAGACTGATTTCAAAAAGACCTTCGCAAACTCGCTCAAATTTGTGCCGCAATCGAACACTATTTTCAAAGTCTGCTCTACCAAGGTTAGCTACTGCTGTTTCATGTTGCTAGCTGGGTTCCCCCGACGGCGTTAAGATGCAAATCGGATGTTATGCGAAAAGCGGACAAATATTGACAGGAAGCTGATCAATTAGCTATTGTAGGCCTGTATCTCTTCGTAGGTTTGGTACGATGCGGGTTATGATAGCTTACCGCCAGCTTCAGCCAACAGGTAGTGACGAACCTTTCTCCCAACTCCTGCTTCTGTACGTGTTATCACCACGGTATTAAGTGTAATCCGTATTGATCTTTGAAGTATGTACTATCGGTTATCGAGTCGATAATGAGCCACAAGTGGCAAAACTGGCCACCCCCCTTTCACTACGTTCATTTATTGATCTCGTGGACCATTGCTACTTGCTCAAGACAATTCTGCAAACTGTGTTAACGGCGAAGTATATTATTCTTGTATCCTTAGCAACTGTGGTGACTCGCAGTAGATTGGAAAAATCAGTCCGGGTCATTTGATCGTAAGTCCGGCTGCTAACGGGAATATTAGGCTGTGTTATGTCCATGACATGTGATATGAGCGACAACATGAGTCTAGAAATTGGAATCACCTGGAACCCTGCCAGAATAACCATGGTACTCCTTCTAGGCTGTGGAGAAAATTACGTCAGGTCTACATCGAATACCACGGAATACGCGACGGCCGCAGCGGGGCATCCAATCCTTCCCCCCAAATCTTTGCTGACCTTCAGCAGAAATGGTTCAAGGAGCTATATCGGGAATCAGTCGCTAATATGCAACTGGCGATACACGAAGCTGGTCTAAATCGATGGGCAGGTGTCGAGGTATACGCAAGCCGTCGACGCGCGACTAACGAGGAACCAAGTATTAGGTACAATGACGCGATAGGTGGTTGAGAATCTGGATATTTCTGGGATAGTGGAGTTAGAGGATCGCAGCGAGTATTTGCCCACACATGATGAGAAGATACCTGAGCAACCTAGTGAGCCGTTGACACAGTTTGACAATCTCATCAAAAAGAGCTGCTTGACAACAGATTAATCGTGGCTTCTCATATGAGTAATGTGGGACCTCATAGCCCACAAATAATAAAATAAATCAAGAGATCGCCGCGAAGTTGAACAATACTGCTGAAGAATTGAAGAAATTTGAGGATGGGAGTAAGGAACCAGCGAAAAGTTCTACAAAGTTAGCAGATATACCAAAGATATAGCGGAGGACTCGAGGACAATGCCCAAGGCAACGAAAAGGGATAGTACATCCATGAAAGCCGTTGCGACCCTAGCTATGGTGTTCCTTCTCGCCCTATACATATCTGTGAGTTTTCAACTCATGCTCAGGACATTGTGTCATAACTCTTCGGTCGGACTCTCCTGGCAATACCGATGTTTTAAGTGGCAATACATATTGATGAAGGTATTGGCCTTCCACAACTTTCGCATGTACTTGGCAATTGCCATACCATTGACGGGAGTAATGATTTTGGCATAGATAATTTGGCTACTGTGTTCAGATTATAACAAATGAGAGGAAAGGAATCGGAATCGGGAGACTCACAACCAGGGCGAAATGGTCCTCTTGGCGGAGCGGGGTGGAGGGCACGGCATTGAGGGAGGGTCAATTGATGGAGGTATCGAAATGTCGTATTCGAGGCTAGCACGTTGGCGCTTTCAATGGAGAAAAATGTCCCAAATTCTTGGGAGTTCACTTATATCAAATATTTTGATATAGGAAAGATTACCGTGAAATCGTCATCGAGAATAGTGTTCCAGTTGTTGAATTTCAGCATCCTCCGTTTGACCGATGCGCATATTGGTAGACGGGAGGTAAATTGATTTTAGGATCCAGAGGTCAACCTTAGCTAGTTTCTTTACGTAGGACGTGTAGCGTGGCTGTGAAGGATGTTGTGGATCTTGCCGCTGACCACAGTCTTATCAAGCGCATCCCTGGTGGTTGACGGTTAGCGAGTTCCGAAACAGGAAGTCGGTGAACTTCTTTTCATTCTCCGCGATTCGACCGTGGGGCTTGGTTGTATATCTAGTAGCGTCGTACTTGTAACCAGGGAAGGACTGTCCCAAAAGTGACGCTCACTTGCGGAAAGAGTAAAATTCAAAGGCTGTGCCCTGCTTAAATGTTTCTGGGGGTTCGCGGCTAGCGCTAGTAAATAGGAAGACCTCAAATTCTGCATTCCAGGCTCAAACAAGCGTCTGGTAGGACGCGCGTTTGCGGTATATTCCATGGAAGCATGAGAAATTATGCGGATGCGATTCGGATGTGCTGAAGAGTACCTATCATAGGTGGAGGTTTGGAAATCCCGATTACTGAAACTCGGGATTTTGCGATGATCGCCGCGGTTCTCAACAACACCGAATAGGTCTCTCTCCTGCCTAAGACCTCAATTGACTGGCGCAGTTGTTGAAAGCCTAATAGAAATGGAAGGCCTTTCGGCTCCTTCTCCGCCAATTAGCTGCAGCAGGTGTTTCAATATGTGCTACGCTTTGATTCGTGCCCAAAAGGTAGCGTTGTGGGGATGCCATGCTGTACAAAGGTCCGTCCGGAAGGAGGGATTTTGGGTAAATGGCCAGCCTAATGCTGATAGGAATCCATCGGGTGTCTCTCGGGGAGCCAAGAATACGCCCAAGGCTTGAATTGACGTGAAACATTCATAGAGAGACACAGTCAGCTGGTTCCCTCCTATTCGGATACCCTTCAGCATCTGAACCAGAACGAGGCTTGTGGAATTCTCATGAAATGGTGGTCTGTAAAGGTTTCGATAGGATGCCTCCGAAGTTGAACCAAAAAAAAGCCAAGGTAGATGTGAACGCGTAGGCTTGTGTTATTAGGCGAGGATGTGCAACTTTCATGTACAAGTAACCAGATAACGAGGTGAGAGTCTGGGAGGCTCAAGCATTGGCGTGGCTTGACCATTACGTGGTCTGCAGGGCTGATGCAGTGTTCCGTTGATTCGGATGCCGGTTTCTAGGCCTGCATCTCAGTCTGCGTGTTTAACGATGGTGAAAAGCATCCGGGAGTCAAGACCGATGCGCCGCAACGCGAGATTTCAACCAGTGAGATGGCGCGCATTTAGCCTGACCGACTCCCGCATCTTTACTGACGCGGACTCTCACGCAATTACTTTGATGCTGCATCCCCGAGGCCGGTCGGTGGGGGCCTGCAACGGAATAGTCACTGCAAGTACGCTGCAGTGTTGGATATTGTGGTGTTGAGGTCCATCTTTGAAGTGCACGACGAAGCTTCCCGGGAAGTTTGTCCGGAGGCGGCTTGTCTCCGGCTCTCGCAGATCAAAAAACTTTCTTATTGCCTCTCTTTACCGCTCTCCAAGAACGGTAGTCGAAGAAATAGCGACTTCCCCTGTCCGGCCACCGACACACGGCGTCGATGATTCGCTGACGACCTACTTGGCGTCGGTCGCTTCTTTGATGTGCGTGCTCAGCCTCCACCAAAGGTTAAAGACCAAGATGCCCAGCACGCTTTCCCCTCACTCCTCTCGATAAGCTCTTCTGCACCCCATAGGCTGTGCCACGGCGACATTCACGCCTCAACGCTGTCATGACGCGTCAACCCTCTCTGACGTGGGTCCAGCCTTCACGGAGCGGATGTCCTTCAGCCACGGCTCCCCGCGATGACCGCTTGCAGACAAAGGGCCAAGAAGAAAGACGAGCTGTCACAATTCAGGCCATCTGCAGCAGTACCTGCAAAACCACCGCTAGCGGTCGTCACTCCAGGGCCTCGAGTACTTCGTAAGCACATGTCCGGCACTGCATAATTCTCTGAAGGCTGAGTACTGCATTCTCATATTTATTAAATCCTCGTCTACCCTCACTGTTCCCCAGAACCAATTCTCGCTTTGTGGGGGTCCGAGAGTAAGCTGTACTATCTGCGTCTCATCTCGTATATTTGTCAAGCCGCATTTATACTTGGCAAGCCCCGGTTTCAGCTGACCCCCGAGTTCCTTTCCATTTCTTTACCTCATCTGCACAGTCGCTTTTGTGCTGTTCTCCGTTTCAACAATCCAGATACAGGTCGAAAATAATGAGGAGAAATGTAGTTGCCTCAGGCCTCTTGGCTCTTGGTAAGTCTGTTATCATGATCTTCATCCATCTGTGCTTATACTGTTTTAGCTTCTCACGCATCGGCTCAAGTTGCCAGCGTCTGCCCCACCACCGATGTGTGCTTTAAATTAAACATTCCATCGAATACTGCTTCATCTGGCACTGGAGACATTTTCTTCCAAATATCCGCCCCGAGCAACTATGAATGGGTCGCGCTTGGTCAAGGAAGCGGGATGAGCGGGTCCAACATCTTCACTATCTACACCAACTCGGGCGGAAACAATGTCACCCTCTCCCCACGATTGGGAACAGGCCATTCTACGCCGAATTTTAATAGCAATGCGAAAGTGACTCTTCTAGAGGGATCAACAGTATCCGGTGGCAAGATGATCGCCAACGTCAAGTGTATGCCAAGTCTGTGCTCCTCCGAACCGAATCACTAATGTTACTTCAGGCTCGAGCTGCAACAGCTGGTCTGGTGGTTCTGCATCCTTTTCTGGCAGCAAAGGAAACTGGATTTACGCCTATAAGTCCTCTGGGGGACCAAAGAACTCGAACGACCAGAGCGCAGGCATCTCACAGCACAACAACGATGCCGCCTTCTCCTGGGACTACACAAATGCCAAAGGCGGAGATAGCGTTAATCCGCTTATTAATTCTAACTCTTCCCCGTCTGGCACTGCTTCCGGCGGCAATAGTGGCGGTAGCGCAACGAACTGTGTGCCACGACCTACAACAGGCACCTTTGCATCTGGCGCCGCCACCGCCTCGGCAACCAAGTCCTCTGGGGACAACAACGAAAACGAGAGCGAGGGAAATGGCCGACCCACGTGGTTACCCTCGAGCTTCCCAAGCGGATGGAGAACTGCATACCCCACCGCTTCTCCCACTGGTGACGATCACCGGGGCCCGCATAGTAAGTGGCTCCCCAATCCGGTTTAGCACTATGCTTACCATATCGCAGAGCGCGCGGAAATCAATTATTGTGATTCCAACTCCCCGACTAGCAACAACGGCAATGGCTTTACTCCTCTCGGTGCTTCCAGCGACTTGATTCAGACAAAGAAGATGCTTATTGCTCACGGCACGCTTGCGGCTCTCGCATTTGTCATTTTCTTCCCCGCCGGCGCCATTGCTATTCGTCTTGCATCGTTCCCGGGTGTTGTTTGGTTTCATGCAGCGTTCCAATGTTTCGCTTATTTGGTTTACATTACTGCTTTTGGACTCGGTATCTACATTGCGAACGACATGAAAGTTGTAAGCTGCAACCTAAAAATTCTAGAAAAGCCCCCACCTGACAGGATACTAGCTGAACAACTACCACCCAATCATTGGCATTGTTGTTTTTGTTTGTCTCTTCTTCCAGCCCATCTTCGGATTCCTCCACCACTCGCTCTTCAAGAAGTACGGCTCTCGCACTTTCTGGTCCTACAGCCATCTTTGGCTTGGACGAATTCTCATCACCCTCGGAATCATCAACGGTGGCCTTGGTTTCAAGCTGGCAGATACGATGGGCATGGGATCTCACAACGGCATGATTGTTTACTCGGTGGTTGCTGCGATCGTATGGCTTGCGATGGTTGCTGCAGCTATTGTGGGTGAGTCCCGCAGGCGAAAAGGTGCAACAGACCGACCGCCAAAGTACACGGACTCTCCTCGCGAGACGCAAGAAAGAGGAGATATTCCGCCGCCAGATGGGCATTATGCACCGAGGGCATAATATTACGTAGCTTTCGGAACAGCATTGGTTGGAGTTTGGGGATATCGAGCAGGCTGAATATAGAAGGATTTATTTCTCTTCTAGATTTACATATAGCATACAAAGCCAAAGCTACAACATTTCCATAACCTACCTGAACCTATGATAGGAACAAATAAGTGAAGTGTAGAGAAAGCGTCGAAATCGTGGCCTTCGACCCATTAGAAAGCAGCCATTAGTGCCTATTGAGACTAGCTTGTCTTGGCGGTCAATCGAGGGGCTCAAGTTTTGGCGGCAACCAGTCGCGACCACAGACATCATCAACAAACACGAAAAGGCACACTTCCACTTCCACCCCAAGAAACGGCCCTGTCATCGTGACATTATACGTCTATTATCAGCCCCGCATTTGATCTTCTCTCAACACAACGAGAGAACAGCCATCCACCATGGGAGAGTCCAGGTACGCCGCTCTCAGGCTCCAGCAGCCAACATTTGTTCGCTCTCACTAACAACCGCGCCGGTACTCCAGACAGGAACTCGTCGCTTGGTTAAACAATCTGCTCCAACTCAACATTACCAAAGTCGAACAATGCGGTACTGGGTACGCACTGTCCTCTCCCCTCCTCTTCCTCTCCTTCATCTTGCGGATCGGGCCGCGAGATCTCGCGCCAGTGTCTCAGACCGATACGGGAACGTATGCTGATGGATTGAACGCAGAGCAGCGCTTTGCCAGGTCTTTGACAGCATCTTCTGTGAGTTGCTTATACTCTAGGATGCAGCGTAGAGACTGTGCTGACAATCTGGCGCTGCAGACGATGTACCCATGGGCCGAGTCAAGTTCAACGCCAATACCGAATACGCATATCTCCAAAACTTCAAGATACTGCAAAGTACGTCAAACATTCCCGCCGACAAAGGACTGCATTCTCTACCTCCCTCCACCGGCTCCTACTGACTTCGCCTTCGACAGATGTATTTGCCAAACATCATGTGGACCGGCCCATCCCCGTCGAATCGCTCGTAAAATGTAAGATGCAAGATAACCTCGAGTTTCTGCAATGGACCAAGCGATACTGGGACCAATACTTCCCCGGCCACGACTATGATCCCGTCTCGCGACGCAAAGGCTCCGGCGGACTTCCAGCGACCGGCGCCCCAGCAGCACGTGCGGCAACCACGAGCGCCGCGCGTCGAGCCCCCGCTGCGAGCAACTCCGCCGCACCCAGGACTCGCACACCCCTAGGCGCCGGCGGTGGGGCGGCCAGCGCAGCATTGCGCGAAGAGAACAACGTTCTGAAAGAGACAGTTACTGGCTTAGAGCGGGAGAGAGATTTCTACTTCAGCAAGCTCCGCGACATCGAGCTTCTGATCCAGCAATCCATGGAAGCCGACCCGGAACTCGAGAAGGAAGAAGGCTTGCTCAAGCAGATCCAAACGATCCTGTACTCCACTGAAGAGGGATTCGAGATCCCTGCCGAAGCCGAGGGCGAGATTGGAGAAGAGGAGACATTCTAGACCAGGCGTTATGTTATGGAGACATATTGCATTTAAGCGAGCGGGCTGGATTAGCTTGGGTCGGGATATCGTTTAGCCTTTCACGGGCTTTCTTCTCTCAGAGGTTTGTGATGACTGATGAAGCATGAAAATGGGGGCATGTGTGGCGTCGCTTATATGTCACTGTGGCGGTGGTGGTCAGTGTGCGATATGTCTTGTTGGTGATAGACTTGGAAGGACTAGCAGTACAGCATGGTATGGTACATGTGGGTGCGTATCTACATGGACTTCTTTTCTCATTCGAGTCTACATGTAGTATTGTTTCGAATGGGTGGATGGATTTCAATGGAAAGTGAGCTCTATGTCTCTGCAGTGCGACGCTTAATGCGAAATCAGATTGTGTTGCTACGCTTCCTTCATAGACATCAATATCCCTAAATCATCCTCCCTATCCCGTGGTATCCTTTCACTAGTCACTCCCACAGACCCGTCATCGCTGTTGTCAATCTCCCAGTCAGCTTCTTCCATCTACAGCATCCGGCACTCCTCCCTAAGAGAACGTGCGTCACGACAACAGTTTGCTCAATATTCAAACCGAGATTCTCACCTTAAAGGCTGAGGATCTTGGGCTGAAGAGGAAGAACGGGGAGCTTGCATTTGAGAAACACTGCCTTCGTCAGGGAGCAGCAACCTTGCGGACAAAGCCCAAAGTTTCAAGATTAAGATAGAAGATTGCAAAGGCGGTAACATCAAGCAAACTAAGGTCGACAACGGACACCACAATCTAAACTATACCATTACCGAATACATTCCCGATCTTGGCTGCTCCATAGTCGGGGAAAAGTTCCATCCTCCCAATGCGGGACGATGGAGGCTTTTTCAGTTGTTACATGGGTCAACAGATCATATCAACACATCTGGGATGCGCCCATGGACTCTCAAACCACCAGTATGGGTGGCGTTGCTCGAAAAGTCTCCAATCCATGAAGGACCAGGCCGACACCGACCAGGAAGTCAACAACAGTAACGTCTACACCAATGGTGACTATTCCAGCGGCGCTAATGGCGAATCTGTAGGCTCGTTTGCGAACCAGAATGGCTTCCAGCAGTAGTCTCGTAAACGCCCGCCGGGCGATGACGACAACAATAATGACGACCGCCCGCCTGGAAAGAGAAGGAAAGTCACAAATATATACAAGGAGCCCGACACCCGTCTTCTTGCATGTCCGTTCGCAAAGAAGGATCCCCTGCGTCACCGGAAATGCTTCAAGTACGTGCTCCAAGATATCGCTAGGCTTAAGTAAGTATTTGGACGTCCCTGTCTATGCACCTCCTTTACTCAACGCCTTCGTGCTTTTTCCAAGAACATATATTTTTCTGTGGTTTACTTCAAAATCCAAACTAATCCTTCAAATAGGCAACATCTAATGAGAGTACATGAATACCCGTACACTGCGCGAGATGTTCCAAGATATTCTCTACTGAAGACCAGTGAGACGGCCATCTTCGCCAACAACCCCAATGTCCAATCGAACCACCTCGGCGCTGGAGCCAGACGCAACGGTAAGTGCAATCTATGAGGCTAAATTGCCCACAAATTAAATACATCTCTTCCCATTTCCTGCCACTAATCTACTACGCCCTACTTGGTTCCGTGAGCCATGAGACTAATGTTACTAACAAATCGTTCTCTCTGGTGGGTATTATCGCTGATACCCTGTGTAACTACATCCTTTCCAACACGACCTAGGTGTCTTAAGGTAGCTATCAGACTTAGCGGGTTCACTAGGACTTTACGAGACTTTCCTTCAGGTTCATTGTTAGTCGCAATAATAGTCTCTTTCAACCCCTCTGCAGCATGTCACCGCGCAAGGGCGCAGATGTTCCCATAGACCTAAGCGTGGAGGACCTACAAGAGTTTGGAGAGTGCAACGATGTGATAGATCTTCATATATCCTTAGATACAGTACGATAAACTGGGGATGCAAAGGCAATTTCTATCAGTAAAAGCTCAAAAATCTCATTGAGAGAATATCGCACTTGAAGGTGGAAGAGAAGAGGACTCGATACTTGGACGCGTCGATAGTTTGAGGGGGGTGGTCGTGGTATCAAATTGTCATTGAGTGGGTCAGATGTGGAAAGGCTAATTTAGAGAGAGATATTTAGAAAGAAAAAAAATATCGACGTCATGAACGTGTGGGCTGCAGCGTATCTCCCATATACAAGCTCAAACCCGAACCCCCATGTCTGGGATTGTCGACTCTCTTTATATATCAACTCACCTTGTCAGCCACATCTACTGCTAAATGTTTTTTTGCAGAACCTCCAGTCCAATCTCCAAAATCCATGACTTGTGCAAGACACAACGCTTTTTTCCCACCATCCATAATCTGCGAGTCCCACATGATGTGTGAGAGTCTAGATCTTAGCATGTAGGACGAACAAAATATGTAGTGTTTCAAAGATTATAGTTTCCGAGAGGAGATTCTGTATTTGAAGTAGAATTAGTATCCGTTTATGGGAATGGTGTGTGGGAAGAGGGTCGAAAAACTAGGCTTTTGAAAGATTCTCAACATGGATAATAGAGAAAGTTAGTTTGCAGGGTTGGTATGATATAAGTCCAATTCACTGCTGCAGAGGTGCGTGTGGAAAGAAATCACACCTATATTACCAACCTCTCGACTCAGGTTAACAGACATTGTCGTCTTTGTAATCCTTCTTCCTACCCACCCATCTACTACATGTTCGTCACGGCAAATCCAGGCCCGCTTCTTGAAGCTGTAGACGAAAATTGGCATGCTCCTTCGTTTTGCGCCTTCGCAGCCCTAAAAAGGCCTCATTGCAACTGCCTAGTTGTTCTCTTTCCCTGATACTCTGGGGGCTTAAAACCAAAGTCCTGCACTTCACTCTGAAGGCACTGTCCAAGGGTCGCATAACCGTATAGAAGTATAGGTGTCAAGTATGAAATACTTCTCGTATGAGCTGAGAAGGGGTCATAGGGTAGGCGAGTCGACAAGGTATTGAGATCCAAGCAAGGTGAATTGAACCAGTGTATTGTAAGGTCTAAGGAGCGAGAGAGAGCTCTGGGCTGACTATATACTGTACGAGAAAGGAGCTAGTCCTAATGAGTGAATAGCGCAGTACATGGGTATAGTATCGCATGAGACACGTGCGACAATACTAACTCCAACACTGCTCACATTTACTTGTTCAAATCTTTGCCCCGAAATATTGTATATTTAGATTTCCAGAAGAGTATAAAGGAGTGACATGGAGCCAAACCCCACAAACCATATTCGCCCAAAAAAGGTAAGACTAAACCGGTATCTACAATTATACCCTGCTATTGGGCTGGGAAGTCATGTAGGAGCTCCAGCCAAATCAAGCCAAACAAGAAAAGGCAACAAAAGATCCCTCCACCACCGCAATTAACGGTTCACCATATTTCAGCCCTGTACCTAGGAACCGCGTAGCTCATGAGGATCTTTAACTATCTCCAGCAGAGAAAGCTTGTGATAGAGTCGTCGAATCCCCAGACTCTGAGATCACCCACACCGGTACCATAAACAGACAAGAACTCACCAGTGCAATGGGGATCGCTATACTATCTTAGTTTATTTCTCACAACCGAATAGAATCAAATGGATATCCTTACCGGTAGAAGTTACATCCAACATCTCCCGGGACATTCAAACTCGTAATCTGGTCATCCCAACCATTTCCTAGGTCGACTTTGATATGTTAGATGTGGGGCTTCAAAGAGGATTAGATATTAGGAGACATACAGCAACCATTATCTTCACCAATGTTAGTGCCTGTCCTAGTTGCTAATGTAGATCATGGAACTTACCAAAGACCCACAATTTTTCATGCCTTCCTCCTCCATTCGGATCTGAATCGGAGATTAGGAATAGACTTCAGCGGATAGAAAGTCCCTTACCATAGTAGACGTCCACACCAATTGATCTACTAACCTGCCTCCGAGTGAGAACTGATCCGTCAGCGTTGAAAACGACTGGCGGGGACCCTTCCGGGACTGGGATTATGTGTTAATCAATTGGTTGATAGTAGGTAAGGGGGATACAAACGATCTGGGATAAATGGCAAAGTTTCCAGGGGAAATTCGGTGATGCTATCTTCCGTAGTAGGAAGACTGGAGACAGCCGCCATGAGCATGGCAGTTGAGAGAGACAACGTGTAGAAGAGCTTCATGATGAAAAGCTGGTAGGTTCTTTGACGTAAAGATGTTTGATTGAGTCTGATATCCAATTGAATGTAATGTCTGGGGGAATGTGGATGGTGGAAGCTTTCAATCGCTCAAGGTCTTCTTTATATATGTCTCTCCAGCACAAATATCTGTAACCTTGCAATAACCCCGAGCAACGACCAACGTTCATTCTCTGCAGATGAGCATAAACGAGAGATTTCACACTGTCCGGCCCTCTCCTTCCTTCTCGAACTCCCCACATTCACGATATTTTTCTTCTCGTTGTAGTTGGATGCATGGCTGGTGGCTGCCGACCAAGGTGACATGGCGTTGCTTGGAGAACTTGGTGAGGCCTGTTTAAATGGCTTTACACCCTAGGTCTAGGAGTTCAAGGAACAATTTACCCAAGAATCCAACAAGTCGTGCTCTTCACTTCCAAGTTGGTTGGCGAGTTCGTTCATGTAAAAGGATGCCTAACGCTTTGAAGGCCTAGTGTGCTTATGCCGAGAAACTTTTGTTTTTTAGCGAAGCAACAAGCTGGTGTAGGATCGAGGTTAAGACTAGCAAGAACTTCACAGTTGAAGGGCATTCAAATAAATATCCCGCAGACTAGACACAACTATGGGAGGGCCGAATGCAGTTCAGGACGACGAGTTCCGTCATCCCCGCTATCTTCGCATAGTGTACACCAAAAGGGCTTATCTCATCGTCGCCGCAGCATCCACTATTTATCGAGTCCATAGGGCTATTCGCTATTTTTGGGTAAGCTGTGAGGAGTGGTGGAAAAGAGGGAGGGTACCTCGACATTTCCGGAGTCATCGTGGTGGATACATCCGCGGCGGTGTAAGACACCGAGTCGGGGGCTGGGTAAGTCGAATACGACAAAGGGGGGAGCTGTAATGGGTCTACATCTCGGGCGTAGGCCGACTATAATCGGACTCGGACTTGGCTATGGAAGGGTTGCTGCAGCTCTACGGGCTTCTGTACTGAGGAAGCACATTCAGAGGTGGCTAGGCCCTTGAGGTTTTCGAACCTTTTCTTGGGCTTATTCCCTAATATGGAATTAGCATGCTATTGACTGTACGAGCGGTCACAGGACTTGTGGTAGTTGCGCTGAGCAATACGGTTCTGCGTCTTGTGGCACTCGGCATAATCCGAGATCTTAATCTAGTCCTCGTTGGGATTTGCAGAAGCGCTGAAGGCACTTGCAGTTGCTCCCCCCCCGGGTTTCTGAACGGGGTGGGGGTAGCGGCAGTATACTGGTAGCTAGCGCGTCTTTGCATTGTGGGCGATGGGAATGTGAAAGGTGGTCAGTTGGAAGATGGAGTTGAAGGGGGATGGTGGACCGGATATAGATATAGTGGGTAGGAGGTGTCCTGACATAGAGGTTGGATGAGCGCCAGCATGCTATATTTATCAATGGATCGCATATAATGTCTCTCCGACTCTTCAGTAGTTCTCCCAGAATATGTGGCAGCTTTTCCTCTTTAATTAGTACATTCATCAATTATAGCCGCCGCTCAATATGTCATCACAGTTTCTTCCAGTGACACTGACCCGACGTTTCAACTATACCCGACGCTAAAGATTTATTGGCTCTTACTGTCCGCAATCTCTCGCAATGGAAGACAGGGGATTCATGGGATTGAGGGTAGGGGAGTGAGTTAGCAAAGTGTTGAGATCTAAACAATAGTATTAATAGATAGTGTAAGGCTTAAGGAGCCGGAAAGGGCTCTGAGCTGACTTTCTAGTGTGCGAAACAGGAGCTAGTTCTAATGAGTGAATAGTGCAGAGCATCGGTACGGTATAATGTGCGACACGATCCGAAACCGTGAAAATGTATGTGCCATGCGGTTGTATAATGTGCACTTGGAGAAGTACGTGTATTTAGGTTCAATTAGAGTTTGCGCACCGCTTTATAGTGATTGAGATGACTCAGTTGTGAGAAGCGAGTGCAATTTGCAGCATCTGCTAATGGGGCCGGGTTTACGGCAGCTGGCAATAGTAAAGACATTTAGTCTGTTGCAAAATTATCACTAAGTGGCCCTCTATATACCCCTAGGGAATGTGTGTGAGAGGTTGTAAATGCGGTAGCTAATTTCAATCTCCTCTTCCTCTTTAAAACCGTATCTCTTTTCCTCTATAGCGTACTAGGAAGTAAGCGTTGCCTAGCTCCTAGGAGGTTACCAAACGGCTTCAGAATCGGAGGGAGAGGAAGAGGAATAGGAGGAGAGTAGATTATAGATTATATTCATCCTCTGTAGGATCGATATGACTTGACGATCGGGGGGGTAGCTTGTGTGCAGCGACGTTCGGGTGATAGGCTCTCAGTGGAGGATTGTATGGAAGTGGGGGCAGAGAGACTGAGTAAGAGTTGCATGGATTGGGGCTAAAGGAGCTGCAGAAGCTGTAGGAGCAGACAGTGGACAAGTCAGATGACTCGGTAAGGTCGGCGTTAATTTGCTGCTAAGTTCCTATTATACTCCTGTTCCGCAAGCTCTTCCCGACATATCTCTCTCCCTCTCTACGGGTTATTCGGTCCTAGTATCGCTCAAGCTTCCCCTCCATCACTGTATTTTGATCCATCTCCTACGCCTCTCATTCGGTTAGCTAGTGAGCTAGCCTGCGTTGCATATCGTTTTGCTGCTGTTAGACTGGGTGTCATACAATCTCGATTGATTGCGCCTTCGCTATAGAAATACATCTTTCGAGCTTCCGGGGGAACTTGGATTGACACTCGAGAGCTGAAAATTAAGCCTTAGGATTTCAGCACGGCTGCTGCATTCCATAGCAGGCTCCCTGGTTTCCATTCCTTTTCCATTTATCTTCTAGAATCTGTAGGAGCTTATTAGGCTGAAATCGGAGTCAGGTTTCTTCCTCTGCGCGAAACAAAGCCCATTGTTTCTGCCAATCGATCTTTTTCCGGCTTGGCAAGAGCTCGGATCATTCTGTAGGAATCTTGGTGCCTGACCTGTCTTTGGGGTGGAGGCGGTGCAGTTCGGATCCTGGCGTAAATCCACGCTTGCCATTTAAGGACTTGTTACGGTTTTTACCTTGGGGGACAACTGCAAATCAGCGATTAAAACCATCGTGCTTACCCTCTGCACCTAGATTTAAGCACTGCCCTGTGCGAAAATTCAATTAAGAATGCATTAGTAGCATCCTCTTACCGGAGATTCCACAGAATGCTGCAGGGGAAGTGCGCGGTGTCGTGTATGCCTCATCATAGGCATTGACCGTGCAGGCTTAACTTTGAGCCCGGTCATACCCATGTTCATATAAGCCCCGGGAGTGTATTTTGAATCGCGCTCGATTCCTAATTCTTGTTTGATTCTTTGGTGTTCTTCAGCCTTATCCAAATTTTCTGTTCGCAATGTTCTTCGACTCGAACCAGGACAACAACTGCTCAAGACCTGATTCAATCTGCTCGTGCGACACTGGGAATGACGATGAGTTATTCGACTATCTGATCAGGAAGTACACCACGACACAAATACAGAACAAGCTCAAAAACGCTCGTATGTTGAAAGGTATAGTTTGCCGTGGATAAGCGTTTCGCTAACAGGTGCAGGTCGTAACTCTGGTTTTTCGTCACGGTCTGGATTCAGCTCAAGATCTGGGTCTAGCTCCATTTTCTCCTCAACATCATCTTCCAAACGCGGATTCTCACGCTGTTCCGTGCACAGTGCTAGCAACCCCACACGTCCCCAGTATGATGCAGAACTGCCGTCCTGCAGCGAAGAACCGCATCCAGGCACTAGAGTCAACACTGATGCTGCGAGTTTGGGGCCGCTTACACAACCAACAAGCCAACAAACCAAACAGAACAATCCCTCAAAACAATACCTATGTCCCTTTTGCGCCGAGTTTAATATCGAAAACGGGATCTCAAGAGAGGGCGATCTGGTGAAACACTTCAAGACCTATCACAATACAAACTTTCTATGGATCTGCCGAGCCGGTGGCTGTGGACTCTCTTTTGATTTGCAATCGGCTTACAAGCTTCATTTAAACAATGGTCAACATCTGACTGGACCACTCTCACATGGTTACGATAGGGTGCTACTGCAACCCCAAGTTGTGTTCGCCTGCGGCTTCGATGGTTGTAAGGAGGTGTACGAAGTTGACCCTATGAATCCAGATGCTACGCAACCTTCCAAAGACTATTTCTCGCACGTGGTGGATCACATGAAGAAAATAAAAAATCGAAAAGTCCAATGTCCGTGGGAGGAACCAATAACCTGGAGCTATTCAACTAGGATGTGCAATCTACTCCGCCAATCGCAGGTTAGGACCTTCTGGAAGGCCGTCAACAAAGAAGTCAGAAACAAGTTATCGTGGCAGATCCAGTACTCGACCGTTCTGCGGAAAAAGCTAGAGTGTAGAGATGTCAAAGATGCTGCACTGATTGTTCAAGTAGCCCAAGAGCTAGGCTCACGGCAGTTCTCCCAGAAATCCAGTCAACACCGCCCATTGAGTACGCTTAAATTACCTACCTTCGATGATAGCGTGGCCTCCAAGCAGCCGGAAGACCATGGCCTACTTGAATACTTCAACGTGCACCTGCCAAGTGATATGTCGGCCTTGCCCAATCCTGAATACCCAGCTCTTGAGGTACCAAAAACGGTTTCACGCCAGCCACCTTTTCCAGATTTGGAAGGTGTCGTTCTTCAAGGAGCCCACAGCTGGGCAGAAAATGAAGCGAACACTCCGTCCCTCGCCACCCCGCAAGGCGTAGGCACATTTTGGGCAACACCCCACTCAGACCTACATGCCCATGCTTCAACGTACGTTCCTGAAAACACCTCCTTTGGCTTTGACTCGGGAATAGACCCAGAAATGGTTTCCCAATGGCTCCCTACCCAAGTCCAATGGTATGACTCTCAGAAAGACGTTTCAATGGGAACTCCCCCTCGATGAACGACTTCCGGAGCTCGGCATTGAGGCATTAAGCTTGTATGTAGACGCACGAACGACTACGAGCGAGTTGCCTAGGTATCTTCATGTGTTAGTAAACCAACAACACGAAGTGCAAGAACAAAATATCCCAACGCTGTAGAACCTGCTTCCAGTGTTCTAGATTGCAGCGATTGTCTGGCCTGCAGATCCACAACATGTTTCCTCAAGGAACAGTAACTGCACCGGCTAGCCACGTTCTTGTTGCGTGAAGGCATATTCAGTCTTCACGTACCGGACAGAAAGTTAAGTGTAGGAAGAAGGGACGAGAGAACGGTTGAAACGAGGCGTTTTCAGCTATGAGCGATGTATAAATCTGTGTAATTTTAATGTTTGTTGACCCTAACTCTATATCCATTAGCAAGAAACCTTTTTTGTTAATATCTCTTAACGTAACAAAATTTTTTTTCCCATCATTATTCGCTTACTATTAAGTAAGGTACATTTCTATTGGGATCTTTTATCGGATAATTTAGCTATCGAGTTGCAATACACGGTTCCGGAAGACCTGTCAGATCAGAAAAATAATTAAGTAGTCACAGAGAGCGGCACTAGACACAGATTTCATATGTGTGCGGTTAATGGAGGTGCCTCTCTATGGTAGTCACTCTAGAGCCCGGCGACGCTGGTAAGAATGGAATCAAGCAGGAGAAATGTGCGTCTGAGAATCCTTAGAGCACATTAACCTTACGAAAGAGAGCGATTGGTGGGCTTTACGGTTATTTGCAGGTTACGGAATCAAGTGGAACCATTGGAAAAAGAAGAGGTGGGTCGATGGGTATGACTTTTGTAGATTTTGGGTTCGGTGGATGGGTAGGTAGGAATATTGTTTGTTGTTGAGGAGGATAGAAAAGGACAGGAGGCTAGAAGGGTCAGTCAATCAGTTGTGAGATATATACACCAATGTAGCATTCATGAGAGCACAGATATCCAGCTCGCTGTCAAAAGCGCTAACCAACTAAAACTTTAGATCCAGAAAACTTCCAACATACCAGCCAATGTCTTCGTGGCGGTACGCATGCTAAGACGGCAGGTACTGAGTTCGAAATAGCGCCCATGTGTGTGCTTGTTCATTCAGATCGCTATATTTTAGCATTTGGATTGGTCCATGTTAGATGAAGCGTCGATAATGGTCAGGGGACGCACGTCGGCATGTAGGCAAATAGAGCAAACGTTGTCGTCTGTATGATATGAGTTGTAATGAAACTACTAGAGAAAATAGGGTATCTGGTGGAAAATATGTGCGAGAAACATAGGGAAAGTGGTGGGGTGGGAGAGTTTACGTCCTCTATCGGCTGACTGACCTCAAGAGCGATGCACCACCCACAACTGCGTACACCAGTTAGTATCATATCGTACAAAGGTCATCGTACAACTAATAAGACATCGCAATCCAATCCGTGGGCTCGAGGCCTGAATCGAGCCAACCATACCCACCTAATCCTCATCTCCCTCATCCTTCTTCCCCTCCACCGTAACCATCTCAACCTCCTTCTCCACATTCCCCTTCCGATCCCTCGTCGTGATCCGATACTTCCCACCCTCCCAAAGATCCTTGAACGTTAACTCCTTCGTCCTCCCCAAACTCTCAATATCTCCAATCCTTTCTAACGTATCCTCCAGGAACTTCTCAAAGCCCGGCTTCGCACAAATCTCGTTGAAAGCGCGCTGCATGGGCACGCTGTCAGCGCGGACCATGGCGTGGGAGTCGATTGCGAAGATAGAGAGATCATGGTGTTGGCGGATGAAGTCGGCGCGCGTCATTATGTAACGGGCTTCATGCAGCGGGAATTCTGGGAGTATGTGTCCGCGTTCCGGGTGATAGTTTTGGTCCATTTGGAGGGATTTCTTGTACAGTGCGTTTGCGAGGACCATGGCGGTGGACTAGGTGAGGGGTTAGATGAAGATTCGGATAGGAGAGAAGGGTATATCCGATGAGAAAGAAGATTTAGCCATGTTGATTAAGTACTTACGGCGTATTTCTGCTGATCCATGACATCATCGTCCATCTCGGCACCAAGAATACCGCAGTTGTTTAGGAACCACGTCTTCTCCATCTCGCAAATGTGGTCGCACATGGATATCATGTTGTTTGACTTGGCAACTCGGTTCAAGAAGGTTAGTCGGCCGCCGATCTTGTCGTACACTTCTTCAAGCGTTGCTTCTGACGTTTGCTCGTTCCAATACTTCATTCGATAGTTCCGCAGCGCCTGCATGGCATGACCTTTTTCAAGGTCTTTAACCTGGGTCACCTCCATTCGTGTTGCATGTTGCTTCAGCCTCTCATACACCCAGTACTTATCCGAGTTGATGATGACCGTGGCGAGGTTGGAGGCGGCCCATTGCTCTGCTCGCTGCTGGATGAGCTCAATCAGGTCTCGGCCATCCTCGTCGTCCCGTATGAGATGAGCTTGATTGATGATGAGGATTAGCGGTCGTCCCACTCTCTTCCGTCGGTTCAACGCCACCTTCTCCAGCTTGTTGAACGCGCGCTCAATGTCTAGAAGAGCTGACGCGTCACGGGGTCCACGGATGGAGAAAAGCGCGCCGATGTTGTCCTCGTGGAACTCGAAGTCCAAACACCTGCCAAGCCTTATGCGAAAGATCTCTGGGTCGGCATGTGATTCCAACATGGCGACTCCTTCCCCTTCGATTTTGGACATGGCATCGATCAGCATAGAACTCTTGCCAGTTCCCTTTTCGCCGATGAGGAGGTGGTAGCGGCCCCGGTCTTCGCCTTTTACGATAGCATCGATCTTTTCCTGCTCGACTCGGGGGATCCATCGATCATAGTCGTCGCCGACACCAGGGATAGCGCCCATTTGGGATTTGGGGACTTCTTTGCCATGGGCAGCAAGCTCCAGCACAGGGTCGCCCGGCCGAAATGCATTCTCCATCTTTTCCAGAACAAGGTATTTATAGTACCGCGTGTAGGTGAAGCCGACTAATCCCAGAATGGAGATGGAAGCAAAGGTGGTCATGGCGGCCTCAAACATTTTCCACGCAGTTCCTTTCCATTGGGCTTTTGAATGGATGGTGTCGCCTTCGGAAGCACCTTCTGTTGCATCATCGACGGGATTTGGGGCATCATTTCCTGGGGTTGGGGGACCAGACTGGCCAGTGAGGTGGCGACAAAATGCAGGTCGCGTGCAACTAGCTACAACAAGGCCAACCCGCCGTAACCGGTTCAGGGAAGAGGACGGACGTTGAAACGTGACATGGTGTCGCGCAATGGCAGAACTGGATCTCAGGGCATGTGGTAGCATTAAGATTAGTACAGGTGCGGCGACGGCTCGCGTCCGGTGTCGCGTGAGGTGTCAGGGCGCGTTTGTTGTGGGGTGGGTCAACACAGAGGGGAACCTGGGCGGGGAAAGCGAAAGTAGCAAAGAAAGAGAATTAGAGACACGACGACGAAGGAAGGGATTGGGGATGCAGGGCAAGGAGAGTGTCCGGAGAGGGTGAATTGGGGGGATGTGCCTTTGAGATTGAGGGAGTGAGATTTCAGGGAGAGGTGCAGCGGAGGCTAGTGGGCGATCCAGCCCAGCCAAGGTGGGAGCGGCGAGCTGGGCGGAGAGGAAGACGACAGACACAGCATGGTGGGTGGACGGGGGTGAAGAATGGAACTGGACACACTAGCAGCGTGGTCACAGTCAATTGCGACGGCGGATGTCAGCGATGCGAATAGGAATCCCGAGATTGGAGCGCTCAAGGCAAGGCTGAGAGGCTGGAGTGTGGCGGGTGGGCCAACTTCACCCTCGGAAACGATTCGGCGAAGCGGGTGCATCCGGCGGCTTGGTAGAAAAAAAGTTTGGAGCGGAGCAGCATCGACTCTTTTTTTTTTCGCTCATCCCATCGTGCCCGCTGCCATTGTACATTAATGCCACCGGTTTGTATATTATCTCCTTCAGACGAAGCCAGATCTTCTTTCATGCGCCGTGCCTTCTGCGACGTGTAATTGTTTGCCTTCCCCCCAGATAGACACTGCAGACATGGCGGCAAGCAACAATGACGCTTCCAAGACCGGTGAGCTTCCTCTGCCCGACCACCTCTGAGCCAGTCCCCCCCCCCCCCGCCCACAACAGTTTATTTCCGCCCGGCATTGCACGCCACAGCTCATGGCTAACCGCTACTGTGTCCCAGACGTCGCCGAGTCCGTGGCCGCAGAGCAGACACTGAACGGCCAGGTTGCCGCTGCTGAGCAGCCGGAGGGGAATGGTCCCAGTGTGCCCCATGTCGACAGTATGTTGGACGACAGAAAGCACTCCGGCGGCGGATCGAATGCTGAAGGAGCTCCAGATGTATTCCAAGTCACCATCAAGCTCCCCCACGAGCCGTTTCAGACACAGATCATGGTAGCGCGAGCTCCCCAACCCCAGTGCTCACCCCCGCTGACAATGGCAGCTCTCGACCCAGGAGCAGGTGCAGGACCTCCGCCAGTCCGTTGTCGAGACCCCGCAGACGTTCCAGTACTCGTGCTTCCACCTCGAGCACGACGGCAAGCGCATCAACGACTTCGTGGAGCTCTCTGAGGTCCCTGGCCTGAAGCCAGACTCCGAACTGACGCTCATCGAGGACCCCTACACCGAGAAGGAGGCACGCATGCACGTAATTCGTGTCAGGGAGCTGATCGGCGCTACTGGCGACAGGACCGACACGCTGCAGGGCATCATGGCCGGTCTCTCCCTGCACGACACGGTCGCCCAGGACGACTCTGAGAGCGCGAAGCAGAGCGTCGCCGAGCAGTCGGTGCTGGGTGACTACGACTTCAAGGCGCCTGGCTCCGTGAAGACGCTGTTGCCGCCCCCCCAAGACCCCGCCCCGAAGACAATCAAATCAATCTCCGTGTCCCCCTGGAATCCCCCGCCATACCACCTGCGGTCAAAAGGACACCTCCTGTACCTGCAGCTCACCACCAACGAGGGCGATCAGCACCACATCACTGCACATGTCGGGGGCTTCTATGTTAACAAATCCTCAAACACAAAGTTCGATCCATTCCCGCGCCCCGCACCAAAAGACTACTCCGCACACTCCCTCCTCACGCTCATCTCCAAGGCCTCTCCGTCATTCGAGTCTTCTTTCAAGTCTCTCCTGGAGCACAATGCGAAGAAAGACCTCCTTACCATCTTCCAACTCTCCAATGCCATCCCGGCCAACCCGTGGCTGGTCCCCGCGCCGAATTCCTCCCACACCGTACACCAAGCCGACCTGGCACGGACGCAAGAGAGCTATCTCATATCTGGGGTGGATAGCACGGAGACACTACGCGACTGGAATGAGGAATTCCAATCGACCCGGGAGATGCCAAAGGAGGCGGTGCACGACCGTGTTTTCCGGGAACGCCTCACCTCGAAGCTTTTTGCGGATTACAATGAAGCGGCCACGCGCGGTGCAATGCTGGTAGCTCGTGGGGAGATTGCCCCACTGAACCCTACTGAAGCCAAGGATGCCCAGATCTTCGTCTACAACAACATTTTCTACTCGTTCGGCGCTGATGGTGTTGGGACGTTTGGCACAGAAGGAGGGGATGAGGCGGCTCGCGTCGCTGTTGGTAAGGACGTCGTCGGAGTTCGGACGGTGAACAACTTCGATATCCAGGGTCTTTTCACCTCCGGCACCGTTGTTGTTGACTACCTCGGAAAGCGTATTGTCGGTCAAAGCATCGTCCCTGGGATCTTCAAGCAGCGAGATCCCGGCGAGCACCAGATCGACTATGGCGCGGTTGAAGGCAAAGAAATCGTTGCAGATGACAAGACCTTCGTTCCTCTCTTCGAGCAGCTTTCAAAGGCTCTCAGAGTCAAGAAGCACCCTGTTTGGGACAAGGATAATGTTCGGCATGAATTAGAAGGAAGCGTCGAGACCAAGGGTCTCATTGGCACTGACGGAAGGCGGTATGCCCTCGATCTTTACCGACTGACTCCCCTGGATGTCTCCTGGGTTGAGGAGTACTGGAGCGAGCCTGGAAAGGATGGAGAGGCTAAACCGAAAGAGAAGGACTATCCGCACAGAATGGCCACTCTCCGACCCGAGCTTGTCGAGTCCTATGGACGACTCAAGCTTCGAGACTATATTAAAATCGAGCTTGCCAAAAAAGCCGAGGCATCGAAGGAGGCCGAAGGCGAAGAAAAGAGGGTGGTAAATGGCGATGCAAACCCGTCAACAGAAAATAAAGAGGAGTCATCCGAGTCGAAGGAAGTGAAGGAAGATGTCGAGGCCAGCGAGCAAGATCGTGTGGACATTTCTGGCTTCCAGTTCGCCCTCAACCCTGACGTCTTCTGCGGCCAGCATCCTCAGTCTGAAGAAGACAAAGTTGAGTGGTCCAAGGATGAGGCGGAAGTTCGTGCGGCTTGCAACTACCTCCTCACAGACATTATTCCCCATCTGATCCAGGAACTCAAGGACGGCGAAGTCGGCTTCCCGATGGATGGCCAGTCCTTGAGCACCCTGCTCCACAAGCGAGGCATCAACATCCGATATCTAGGCAAGATTGCTCAGCTTTCCGACAAAGAAGATCCTCGGCTGCAAGCCTTGAAACGACTAGTTATCCAGGAAATGATTGCGCGTGGATTCAAGCACTTTGCGAATTCCAAGATGCGGAATCTTCCTCCTCCATTTGCGGCTGCATGCGTTGCGCATCTGTTGAACTGCCTGCTGGGCAGTGATCTGAATGCTAAACCCGTCGCTGAGACTGATTCAACATTAAAATCGATGTACCCGGAAGCTGATTTCGGATTCGAGGCGGTTACTGCTGAGAGTTTGAAGAAGGAAGTCGTAGCACATGTCGCATTGAGGTATCGATACAATCTCGGAAAGTCTTGGATCGAGCCTGGTAAGCAGACGCAACTTCTCCGAGAGGTCTGCTTGAAGCTAGGTCTACAGTTGGAGATGAAGGAATATGCATTCACGAAGCAGGTCGTGGTCAATGGTACTTCCACCGACACCAACAGCACCCCAACGGCGAACGGACATACTACCACTTCGAGCAAGAAGAAAAAGAACAAGAACGCGAATGGTTCTCCAACACGTGCCACAAGCCCGGTTTGTGCGGCTCCTCCTCAGACTTTCCACGCCGACGATGTGCTCAACATTGTCCCGGTAGTCAAGGAAGCTTCACCAAAGAGTCTTCTTGCGGAAGAAGCTTTAGAAGCTGGCCGGATGTCTGTTGCACAGGACCAGAAGGAACTTGGCCAAGAGCTCCTCCTCGAATCGCTATCTCTCCACGAACAAATCTACGGTGTTCTCCACCCCGAAGTCGCGCGCGTATACCACACACTCTCCAACCTCCTCTACAATCTCGATGAAAAAAACGCCGCAGTCGAGCTCGCCCACAAAGCCGTCATCGTGTCCGAACGTACTCTCGGTGTCGACCATGCCGATACCGTCCTCAACTACCTCAACCTCGGCCTCTTCGAGCACGCTAACGGCAATACTAAAGCCGCACTAGCGTATGTCCGGCACGCGCTAGAACTCTGGAAGGTCATCTACGGTCCCAACCACCCTGATTCCATCACCACACTCAACAATGCAGCCGTAATGTTGCAGTCTATGAAACAATACCATGAGTCCCGCCTGTGGTTCGAAGCCTCGCTCGCGATTTGCGAAGACGTGTCCGGCAAGCAATCGATTAATACAGCCACCCTCCTCTTCCAACTCTCGCAAGCCCTTGCCCTAGATAAAGATATGCGTGCCGCTGTGAATCGTATGCGCGAGTCGTATAATATCTTCAACACCGTCCTCGGCCCCGACGACCGCAACACCAAAGAAGCAGAACAATGGCTCGAACAGCTGACACAATCCGCCGTTATTCAGGCTAAGCAACTGCAAGACCTCGCCAAAGGACGCGTGCGCCGCGTGCAGTTGACTGGCACGGGCAGTCGTGGGAGCCTGAGACCGCAGCCGTCGGTTGGGCAGGTGGCGAGTGGTATTGAGGCTAGCGGGAATGGAGTTGGTGGTGCGGCCAGGGGGAGTAGGGTTGACCAGAGGAGTATCGAGGAATTGTTGAGGTATATTGAGGGGACAGATGGGCCGAAGGCGAAAGGACAGAAGAAGGGTACACAGAATCCGAAACGAAGGACGCAAAAGGCCGTGAACTGAACCATGGCGATAGCATGACCGAGATGAAGAGACTTGGACTGTTTCGATCGATATCGACCGATATCCATGTGAAGTCTTACACGATGGGGAAGAAAAAAACAACTGAATAAGGCGATGGTGGCGGTGGTAGAAGTGGAAAATTCTGCAGCCCAATCCTCCCCTCTCCTCCCTCTTCATGGCCCTTATTCGGTGGGTACACTAGGAGACTGGGATACTGGAATCCATGGACGTTGTACTGTACTATTAGTCGTGTGTGTCCTAGAGTTTTGCAGTGTGGCAGCATTCTGATTTCTTTTGTGTCCACTGCTACTTCTGCTCGGCATGATGCCATCATCTCTAATCCTAGCTAGCTAGCGGATACGGTCCCTTTCCTTTCTCTCATCGTCTTTTGTTTTCCTTTCCGCTCTCTGCTCTTCCTGTATCCACTTCATGGGCTGTTGTCTTGTTTTGGAGTCTGGTTGGTAGGTACATCTGGGCTATGGCAAGCGGGTGGTCCGGACTGGCAATAAAAAATTTTGGTATTCGCGTCGGTTGACGAACAGAAAGAGGAGGAGACCTGTATTTGTATGTCCATTTTGGGGCTTTTTTGTCCCGTCCCAAGTCTTTAATCGACAGAGGGCGCGTGGCTTGGTGGATAATGGATGGAGGGGAAGTGATGAAAAGGCCGGTCTTGCATCTATCCCGTGTATGTATATAGAATACCAAGGCAAAATGTCAAGTCTCCCCTTTTTATATTAATGGTATTTTTATTTGTTGGATGGCTTCTGTGACAGAGTATGCTGATGACAGTCAATGTCTTGCGCTTGGAAAGGGAGGAGCTTGAGTTCACTGGTTTTCAAATATTGAATGGACGAGGCTGGAGAGTGACCGCGTATCCTTAGGTCGCTATACGTGTGTATTGAATCTCGTTGACTGTCTGCAAGACGGGGCAACTACTAGCTGATAGGTGACTACATCCGATTATATCAGGCTCGCGTCCTAATTACTACACGTACGCCACTAATTATGCATATGTAGCTCAAGCGTGTACACAAGTCATAAGTCACGACTAGGTAAATACCCAGAGCCCAACCTGTGAAAGCAGGCAGCAACCGTTCCCCTCACAATTTTTCTCACGTTCTTCTTTACCCCCCTTGAACTTCACACCTCGCGCCTCCCACTGCCAGGTATATGAACGCCCCTATCTACCTTTCCGCCTGGCTAATCTCGCATTTTTACGACGCGACCCTACAGCAGATCAACTCCAAGCCAGCACAAACAACTCCCCCGCCCCTAGTCTCCAAAATTCTCAGACGAAGATGGTTATCCGTCTGATAGGGTGGGACTAAAACATGATGAATTGGCATGCCTAGTTAACATCAAGTCCCACAAACCCCAACGAGGAGGTCTACCGGAGGTTTGGGGATAGGAGCTCTCACCTAAAGGCCACGCAAGCAGATCCGAAACGACTGGGATGATTGTTAGATTATATTGGCTAGATGGAACTATATGGCGTTTTTGCCCACCTCTTCGGGAAGCAGGCAGTTATAAATAGTAGCCTCAACAGGGAGGTCTCCTACCACACACATACACACAACCAGACATAGCAAGCAGCAATGGAACCGCTCCAAGTAGAGTGAGACTAAAACAAGCTGAGGAAGAACCTGATAGCAGACCGCGCTTGTCGACACCAAGGTTCATCGTCAGCCACGTCATGCTGTGTTGACGGGCTTCCACATCCTAGGAGATATATCAAAAATCGCAAACACGGCTTGTCCACCTCCTCTACAGCAGTCGTCAAGATACCTCCTCAACACACACCCGCCTAGCCACCACGCAACACGCGCTGGAAAAAGCGTTTCAGGGAGGACTAAGAACACTGATCTGTGGAGACTAAATTTTTGAGCCCGACCACCTAATGTCACATCCACTCTTCCCTCCCCTTCCCTTTCTTGTCGAAAAGCGACTAAACTGAAATATTCCTGCTCCATTCCTACGCCACTGACCGAATTTTCTAATAGGTTCAATGGTGCCCGTACCTTCTCCTTCTATTCAGTCCGTCGAGGAGAATCAGTAGGTGTATAAGTATATATCTCCGCTATGTATGCCTCGTGCGAGTCTCTTCTCAATTTCAATGTCAAAAGGCAACACCAGAATGGTTAGGATGGAATATAAAAAACTCCTAAGAAGTCGGTCATTGAGGGAAAGAGGGGAAGGGAAGGGTAGGTTTAAAATGCCAAAAGGCCAGCTGGCTACATCAGGTTAGGTCGAGGTGCAAGAGGGAGAGCGAAAGCGAACCATTGTTGTTGTAATTAGATTGGGTGAAAGGGATAACAGAACGTTACTAATAGAAAGAGCCACGACTCAACCGCCCATCCTCAACCGCTCCACCTCTACTATTACATCTTTGACAACAGCCCGCATCACGTTCACGGCCAAACCCCATGCAACAACGAAGTCCTCCTTCTAACTGCACCCCCTCTCTCCGTCTACTCCGGCGACCCAATATTCTGCGTACCCTCAATCCTCTGACAAGCCCCAAGTCTCTTATTCCCCTGATCAAAAATCACATAAACGGCCTTCAACCACGTAGCCCCCAAAATATCGAATGCCGTATCGCCTCTCGACTGAATCCCTCCATACTGCATCTTCTCCCCGACCTTGGAGAAACCAAAGTCCTCCTTTTGCAGGGCAAACTGCTTCTCCCCCACCGCAAACGTCACAACGGGTATTTGAGCCTCCGGAGTCCCGATCGGGAATATCCACCCCTGTTGGGAGTATGAGAACTTAGCACCCGGGATACAAGAATAGATTGCTTCACACATGGCATCGTCGACGAGTGCGAGGGTTGTGCCTGTGTCTGCGATAGCCGTGTTACTGGGTCTGGTGATGGTTCTGCCATTGATAGTCGCGGATTCCGACTTGAACTGCCAGTACCCGTTGGATGTGTCAATGGGAGTGTAATACGGGGGCGCTTCACATCGTTTTATGACGTCCTCGTCAATGTATCCAAATGTGTAGAAGGATTCTCCTTGATCGACTTCTTCAAGGTCGCGCCAGCTGCCTAGGTAACACGTAAACAGTTCTTGTTCCTTTTTGATGTCTTCTTGCGAGATCATGTTTTCTACGGGGGTGGCTACGGCTTTGGGTTTGACGGAGTTGATTTTGCCGAAGGCGAGGCCGAGGAGGCCGTCGCCGGCGCTTTGGGTGAATTGTGGAGAGATCTTGGAGGCCAGTTCGATGGTTTGGTTTTCGACACAGAGCCCGCCGAGAGTCACGTTGTCCGTGCCCACGATGCCGCTGGCGGTGGATCTGTCCCCGTATTGGATCTTCCATGTGTTGTTAGGGACCTTTTTGAAGGTGCGGGATGCTTTGGGGTCGAAGATTTTGTGCGTAGATGACCCGAATTTCTTAGTCCTGCTATCGAGTTTGGTAGACCAGACCTAGAAAAAGTGTTAGCAGTATTTTCGTATTGTACTTACTAGGGATTGAAGCTAGATGAGGTGGAAAAGGAAAGTAGCATTGAATGCTATCTGGTGGACAAGCTCCGAAAAAAAAAAATAGTTAGGCGAAACCACGGAGTGAGAAAACACATACCCAAAGATCCGAACTCCCAGTATCGAAATTCAAATTCAATGTCTGCGGAGGCGTGCCAATCTGCACTGGACAAAGGTACATTGAATCGTTTTGCTCCTCATTTGCTTTGATCGCTCCGGGTTTGCCTCGCTCATTGACTCTCGCCAAATGTTTCGACGGCTCGACACTTTTCTTGCGTAACAGCTTCTTGATGCCCTTCTCGGGCTGGTCGGTTTTCTGATAGGGACCTTCGGTTGTGGGCGCGAAGTCATCTAAAGAGTGTTAATAGCATGTAGTGTTAGTATGGTAAGACAGTAAGGTGGTGAGAAAATATTAGGAGAAGAAGCAGTGGGAAGGAGAAGTGACAAACATTTCTTCAAAAGAGAGGCGTACGACTGCATGCCCACACGTTCATAGTTCGGGTTAGGGACAGCATTGATACGGTTGAGTTTGCGGCTCATAGCAAATGTCGATCGACTGTGGTTCGAATACTCAAATTAGGGGGCAATAGAGGAATGAAGGAAGAAGAACTTGTAGGTAGAGAATTGTGAAAAAAGGTAGGACTGTTGGAAAGCGACAATTACTGTTGAGGGTATGCAAGGGGGAATAGAAATGCTAAAGAAGATACGGACTCCCAAGTGTGCCTGCCAGGAATTGCTTCGGCCTGTAACCCCAAAACATGATCAGCTGGGGAATTTGCGAAGGAGATCTCTCGAGGCAGTCGCATACTGGATGTTAAGAAAGCACCAACAATACGTGAAGGAGCTCCACTCCGTACATCGCACAAAGAAATGGTACATGGAAGGAGAGTGGAAGGATGGCAGTCTTCACATGCTAATGCCATTTCGTGGAGACCTCATGGAATGACAGTGACAGCCTGACTGAGACATTCCACTATCTTTCACTACACAAAGAGGCACAAGGTGTCAAAACGCAAATCAAACACAAGAATAGTTGGATTTATGAGGAGAGACGAGTCAAAATTTTACGGTCGCACGGGAGAACAATTCTGAAAAGGAGATTCTCATTGCATACTGAACACTATGGAAGGGAAGGAAGCAAAAGACGAGAAACCAGTTCCAGAGCATTCCCATTACGATTGTCCAAAGCCAGCCACAAAGCCAGGAGCGCCAGCTAGCGCCCTAGTCGAAAGGAGTGTGGATAGATGCGTTGCATCTACTATGTAAATGAGTGTGTCCTTGCTCATAGTGGAGTGTCCCTGAAACCCAGTCCAAGCTAGCAGGTAAAGAATAAACACATAGGTTAAAAGATTCCAAACCAATACCTAGAGACGCCAAGATGATATGCACTGCATGTTCTCGTCCAGCGCAGTGTCGGCCATAATCTTGGCGCCAACCGAAGGCGACGGTGATTTTGAGTACAACCAAGTCTTCTCCCGTTTTCCGCCTTAACCAATCTATGACTGGTGATCTCACGAGTTTACTCATGGCATCTCTTCGTCGCTCGCGTTGAGGATGTCATACTCCTCGTCAGTCATGAAGCCTTCATCATCACTGGAGATTGAACGGATATCAACACTCTCGGCGTCCTCAAACGACTCATCAGCATCAGACTGCTCAGAAAGAGCGGCAATGACGGCACTCTCGGGCTTGATCTGCTGTGGCTCTGACTTGGCATCTACAGCCTCATGAGTGCTAGATGATGGGGACTCCTTCTCAAGCTGCGGGAAGATCATCCCAGAGACCTGGGGTTCTGGTTCGCGCGGTGTCTGAATCTCGAGTGGCTTCTCTTCTACGGGCAATTCTGCAGTCTCCTGCTTGGTAGGGAGCTCGGGAGCTGGCTCGAGTTCGGGCATCTTTTCGTGGTAGGCAGCGGCAGAATTCTCTTGTTCCTTGCGTCGAGCTTCGAGCAGGCGCTCTACAGCTGCCCTTCGGACCTTCTGAATGCGAGCCATCTTCTCTCGCTCGGCTTTCGCAGATGCTTTCTCGAAGACTCGTGACTGGAACTCCTTCTCGTCCAAGTGAAGCTTCATCTTTCGGAGCCTCTCGAGAGCTTCCTCCTGGAGACGGGCAGTTCGCTGTGTGACATCATCTTGTGATCGCATTTCCTCAGCAACCTTCTCATCGTGTCGAGCTTTGTATTGAGCCCTCGCTGCCCTGAGTCTCTCAAGCTTCGCTTGTTGGAAGCGCTCGTAAGCAGTCATAGTAGGAGCATTGGACGATGAGCCGGTCGTTTCCGCAGTCTCACTTGATGCGGTGACGGTAGTGACAGGCTGGGCGGCAGGAAGGGTAACGGGGATTGGAGGGGGAATGACCTGGATATCACACCAGAGCCTGTGACCAAATGGAGTTCCGTCAGCAGTCTTGAGACGCCAGTAGGAGATGGCGGTTCCCTCGCGCTTGGGTGCCTTCATGACAATGCGGAAAGAGATTTCCTCTCCAGGCTCGACAGGGCGGCCAATGGCATTACTCTCACTAGCATCAGCGAGCTCGCTCTGACTCAAGGGCTGGGTGTTGTCAATATTGAGCATGTGGTCACCACCGACATGTCGAACGCTGCAGCCCGCAGGCCAGGCCTTTGGACCGGGATTGCGCAGAGTCCAGACTTGAACGAACTGGAAGCCAGCGAACACTTTGGTTCCGTCAGTGATGGTATCGCGGATAAAGTGAGCATCCAGCTCCTCAGAAGGCTTGGCAGGGGAGACCTCTGGAACTGATCCATCAAGGAGATCTTTGATCTTGATCTTTTCCTGAACTGGCTCAGTAAGGAGATCACGGATCTCAATCTTCTCCTTGGTTGGCTTAGGTTGCGGCTCCTCAGTAGGCTTCATATCAACGATGGTTTGGACCTGGGTAGCAGCGTTCGCCGATGGGGCAACTGGGGTAGTCTCTGTTGCAGTAGACTTCCGGGCGGGCTGATCGCCCAATCTCGCTGTGGGTACACCGTTTTTGTCCTCGTTCATGGTTGTGACGGTCACGTTGCGGACAGGTGTCTTGAACTTAATCAAGGGATGGGTGCGGTTGTGCCTATTGCTGGGGATGGCCTCACAGTTGGCACAGAAGTCGGTGTCGTGGCATACAGCGCACTTGTAACGAACACCCTCGATGTACGAGAGGTTTTCCTTGTCCTTGCAAAGTGGCCCATCGCAGTAGATGCCATAATGACGCACGGCACAGGTAACTGGTTCGGCTAAGGGCTCGTAGATGGGCACGAACCTGTGGCGAGGATGAATGTACTTGGCGCTCTTCATGCACTCGGAACAGAAGTCCCAGTCAGGGCAGTTGAGGCACTTGTGGCGAACGCCATAGATGAACTGCGGCGTGATTAGATGGTATTCTGAAATTGAAAAAGCAGGCGACATACCTTCTCGCATCCATCACAGACGGCGGAATGACGCACATTCCTGCCGGCATTGCAGAGGAAGTCTGCCAGAGCTGTAAGAGTCGTCTCCCCTGTTGCACCCTTAAAGGGATGGCCAGGATGGTGACCATGTTTGTTAATGATGTGGCAGTCCATGCACAAGTCATAGTCGTCGCAGATAGTGCAAGTCACGAACTCCTTCTCGGGGAGAACTGTAAGTGTTAGGGCACGCATCTCATATCGGGAGAGAAAGTTACTCACCTTTCACGCAACTGTTGCAGGTACGTGTTGGCTCTTCGTGGTAACACACTGAAGGCTGTTTCTCGTCTGTGAAAGCGCCCGGCATTTCTGGTTCGGTCGGGGCTCTTGGTTTCGGGCCAACACGCTCTGTGGTGCTGTTGACGACGCAGCCATTCTTCACAAAGCGCTTGACCATCCAGTGTCCAGTTCCAGGGCAATGGATGCCGCCATCAACGCATGAAGGGCAGAGATCGTAATCGCCATGGTCGCATATGCTGCAGTGGAAATGCTCATTCTCCATGGGCTGGTTGCAGTTGTTGCAGAATACGACCCAGGAGCACTGCGGTGAGGTAGCTTTGGGGCGGAAGACGAGGTCGTTATCCTGAGAGGCGTTTGCAAGGCCGTTGAAGAACCCTTGTTATACAATTAGCATCCGGATTAAAAGAAAGTGAAATTAAAAGCTTACTCTCGCGTGCAGGGAATGGATGAGGCACAGGCGCTTCACCTTCAGCATCCGGCTTGTTCGCCATCAACGGGGAGGCCAGGCTGAATCGACTAGTAGAGCCAGCGGGGCTGGTCTCGTACGTTGACATCAGTACACGAGAGGCCATTGGGGAGTGTGCGATGACTGGCGAAGCCTGAGGAGGGTCTTGTGGGGACAGAGTGTCCGCGCTCATGCGGTGGAGCGAGCTGGGCTGGGTGGTGGGAAGCGGCTCTTGGACAGGTGGCGGGAGCGGCTCAGAGGCGGGCTCGCTCTCATCATCTGGAAGCGTGGCCCGCAGACGAAGCTTGAGCTTAGCCTTTGCAGCACGGAACAGCGTCTTGTAGACCTGGGGCTTATCCGAGTCCAAGGTGACGTAGGCGCCGGCACTATCGGAGTATCGCTCAAACACGACCTCTTCGTTCTGGGGGATGAGCAGCAGGGCTCGGAGCTAAACAGCGAGTGTTAGAATAAGTACATGATGATGTTTCCGCTCTCTAGTAAGCTCAGACGTGGAGCCGGAGGCTGTCTGTGCTCTTCTGAGCGTGTGGTGAGCGACAACCACGCACCTTGTCGGGAAGCACTTGGGCTCCCAGATCCCGCAGAGGGATCTTGAACTTCTTATTATGCCCCTGGAAGAGGATCTTGATGGTGATCAGCGTGTCCAGCGTAACGGGAACGTTGGTAGCCATGGCGGGTGACAGCTCGACCGAGGCTGACGAGGTGACGTATCGGAATTTGAGGGGTATCACGCTGCACAGTCTCGTCGACGAGGAGGCCAACGAGAGAGGTGCGGCTGAGGTGAGAACGAGATTCTCCTGGAGTTGTGGAAGGGTTGGAGCTGATGGGGAGGTCGATGGGGGGAGGAGAGAGGGGAAGAGTGAGCTGGTAGAGAACAGGCAGCTGCGACCAAGAGGCGGCGTTCGGCGGGGGTCAAAGCTCAAGCACTACCACGCACGCATGTCAGGTCGAGCGGCAACTTGAAGTGAAGGCAGCCAAGCGGCGTCGTCAGCCGGTGAGAGGTGACAATAGCAGCAGCAAGGCGGAAAATTGCGCGCGGCTCTGCACTGCTGTTGTTTATCGCCGCGGGAGCTGCAGTGTCAAGGGCCAGACTAGGCCCCACGTGACGCGCTCTATCTTCCCAGCAAAAGCCTTAGAGAGAAGCAATATCCATCTCCCTTCACAGCCTTATGAAAGCTAGCTTGTGAGGCCGCCATCTTGGTTTCCGTTCAGTAACACGGTGACGATGTGGTGTGCTGCCTATGGATAGCGAACGAGGCTCCGGAGCCAACGGAAGGCACGGCCTCTGCTCAGAAGTTGTGAAGTTGATGCTACCCAAACACCATTTGCTCTTACAAGGTCGTACCTCTCTTATCCTCATTCCTAGAGTCGAGGCTGCATGTGGATATCAATGTGACACGGCGAGGGTTGGCTCCTCTTTACTTAGTATCGGGAATACCATGAAGGCAGCATTCCTCGGAAGCGGCTGCTTAACAACCTAGAATTCTTGCTTCTAGCCCTCACTATTCTCTCACCTATCTCTCACCTAGGGCATGTAGGCTGTATGAGGTTTCACGTGATTCTAAATCCAAGCCTCCAGCTACCACAGCCTCAGCCTCATCCCGCGAATCACTCTTCGAATCTTCATTCCTTCCCGTCATGTATTCGGCTTCTCTCGACAGTTACACGAGCCAATCACCAATACTGCGATAGATTGATACCCTTACAAAAACACGCGTGATGGCAGCATGAGTCCATCGCTGCTGCCCGACTTGGTAAAGGACTCACAGCTCCTGGTAGCCTTCCGAGGAGATACGACTGTGCACCGGTTCACCAGCACAGACTTGAGTGGACGACGTGTCAAATATGAGGAGGAATGGAAAATCGACAAGCACTTAGGCCACGGCTCCTATGGGAGAGTCTGGAAAGAATCATGTGTTTCCAACCACTCGGATGTCCCCAAGGCCCGCGCGGTGAAGATGATTTTAAAGCCACAATGTCCTTCAAAACGGCTCGACTATAACCGTGAACTGGAGGCCATTGCTAAGTTTTCTCATCCCAAGGCAAGTAGTCTCTTCGTTGTAACTACAAACTAACTCGCTAATTGTATTACAGTACGAGTCGTGTTTCGTCAAGTCATTCGGTTGGTATGAGAGCCGCGAGGCTATCTTTATCGCCATGGAATTTATGAGCTACGGAGATCTTCAGAAGTACATGCCAGAGACCGGCGAGTCATTTTCTACTCAGGATACTCAAGACACGATATCACAAATCCTCGAAGGCCTTTTCTACATGCACGAAAACGGATTTGCTCATCGAGATCTAAAACCTGCGGTGAGTGCTACGTCTCACATAAAATATTCTGATGCATTGCTGCCAAGTTGACTATTTGAGCAGAACATTCTCGTCAAATCAAAACCGCCAGACAATGAGAAGTGGTGGGTCAAGATTGGAGACTTCGGAATTAGCAAGCGGGCGGAGGATGGAAACGGGCCATCGACAGTCAAGGGAACCTTTGGTTTCATGGCTCCAGAGGTACTTCTCGCTGCGAGCTCTACTGGCCGTGCGAAGGGATCGTTCGATGCACAGCCTACGGATTTGTGGGCTCTTGGAGAAATTGCCTTTCGGATGCTGTGTGGAGCCCCTACATTCAAGGACATCCTTAGCATGTTGCGCTGGATGGAGAATCCAACTTCTAGTTTTCTTGATCAATTACAGCCCCTCGTCGCGAGTGAGGTGGTTAACTTCATCCAAGGTCTGCTAAAGGCAGATCCGACCAAACGTTTGTCGGCGAAGAGAGCCATGAAGCATGTGTGGATGAGCCCTAGCAGCACATTATTAGAACCAGAATCTCTTCCTTTGCCCTCAACAGCCGAACAGGGTTGGCCTCAGTATCCACAACAAAAGGAAACTTTCAAATTTTGTGAGGCTTCAGCGAAATGGAGCACTCTGAATCCCCCAACTACCATCCAAGCAGATACCTCGCAGGAGAAAACGCTCCACCCAGGCCCTTTATCCCAGTCAGAGCTTTCCGCACCTCCTGCAGAAGATTCAAATTCCACAACCAAGCCCAGGACGCCCGAATTCCCCATAGGGCCAACCACGCCGAAATTGTCACAAGACTGGCTGCCTGCACTCCAATGTTCGCCGAGGTCCTCTCCCATCATCAAATCCAAGGATGGTAGATTGAACGACTTGCGAGATCTGATGGCGAACTGGAACCTTCCCAGATACTTGCCAAGAAAGAAAAAAACGACCGCCACCACCCTCGAAGTATACCAAGACAGTAAGGAACGTGGCTTACCTAATCTAACGGGGAAAGGAGGTGAAGCTGCGGAGATTATCTCTATATGCCCCAAGTGCAAGACAAGACAGATGGTATCTGTGGCACCTCAGGCGGCTGAAGTTGAATGGTATTTGTTACCAGCTTACCCATGGTACCAAATTACTGACTTGTTAGTTGTAGCAGTGGATGCAATTTCCGGTATTGGATATCGCCTCAAGGATTTGTTACTTCCAAAGTACTTCCAAAGTCCACTATCAATCTCTCTCGCACCGTTAAAGACGAACACTATGATAGTCCGCACTCCTCAGATTTTAAACAGGATCCTTCCCCACTACCTGTACCACCCATTGTTCGTCGATCCAAGAAGCCTTCCGTACCCAACGCTCGCCGAGACCAAGAAGAAGCAGATTCGGATGCCAGCTCGTCGGACTCTACCCGCGCTATGCTTTCATCGGTTCGTAAACTAGAACAGTCGGACGCCGATGAACATGGTTCGTTATATGACGAGTTGCATTCCGGCGAGCCAAATAGACCCAGTACGCTACTAGAAGGCCCTACTCAAGGCAAAATACGGGTGGCGCGCAAGTGGGGTATTCCGGATGGGCCCTCGATCGGACTCTGGGATCCAGAGGAAAGACCATTTACCGTTCTTGAAGGAACGTTGGATTCAGGTTCGATGGGAAAGTGGATATATGACTGGACTTTATATCACCACGGTCCTAACACTCCTCTGGCTGCCATGGCTGGAAAGCTCTGGATCAGCTTAACCAAGTTAGCATATATGATGGAAGTAGGAGAGGATTGGATGTTTCGCCTCAGAACGGCGAAGGATCACGACCGCACCCAAGCTATTCCATCACAGGCCAACCAGGATGTGATTGGGAAGTTTCTTGCGTCCGGGCAGAAGTTGTGGATTAGGCTCGCTAAGTTGCTGGATGCCTGCGAGGAGTACATGTGGCTGGCCCCTAAGGAGGTAAATCATGGCACACTTTGGTCAGATATAGGGAAGAAGCCGGGTTGCGATTTCGTCGATGCCCTATTCAGTCGAGACCACAAATTAGAAAAGACGGAAGAGCTAATGATGGATATGCATATTTGGTCCATGCGATTCGACAGCCGATGTGGGGATATCCTGCGACAAATGGAAAGCGCCGAAACGAGACGGCGTGCGCAGAAAATATTGGACTACGAAGATGATGTCATAGCTTATATGGAGGAGCGCAAGACTAACAATGTCAAAGCAAGCAAGAGGATATGACGTGGAAATCGCCCCAAAAAAGTTTTCAATATTCCGCCCGATCTTTCAAAGGTCTAACGACGCCTACTATAACTATTGATAATATATATCTCCGTAAGTTTCTTTTTACGAATATTGTTGGGCATCGCGAACCTTCTGTTTGATCCACACTTCTCCAAACCAATGAGGCGAGTAAAGGAAGTAAAAGTTTTCGCTGTGGAAGTAAGGGAGTGTATGTCGATAAGTGACCTATGCTCATACTGAGTTCAAGACTGAATACACAGAAATCTCTACAACTAACCTCACAGAGATTTTGTCTTGCACACAAACCCGAAGATACCCCGCTTCAAGTACATAGACATGCTCTGGGTGTCCACACCTAATGCTGCGCTTAAACGTGCTGTCAGGTCTGAGCCACATGCCACCATGAACTACAATCTAGTCTTCCATAGTTCTCAGGGGGCTTGCGTAAAATCAGCATTTGCACGCTGGCTAGTCCCGCACCATTCTTGGGTTCACTCTAAGTATACTGAGCTCTAATTCTATCATGATGTGAAGGTGGCATAAAGTGATATCGTTGGGGAGGTGACTTTTCAGATCTCCACTAAGCCACTCAGCTTCCTACGGCTAACAATCATTCCAAGGTAAATAAATTTGGACGATTCTTACGCCGTTGGAAGGCTGTTTCTCAAGTTCTACAATTTTACTATATAGTACGCTGTGGTGTGGCTGATGGATAACTCACTTTCCCCGACAGAACACTCCAGAAGGGGAAGGGTAGCAAGAAAGTAGGTGCGAAGCTAATCCTCAATTAGGAAATTCTTTTTTAAAATAGCATTACCATGTGTTCCTTTCTTCCACTCATAAAAAAATTATATGCCGTAGGGGTTAGGATGGGTTGCCCGATCGACCTTGGGCTTGGCGTCCCACGATACGACAGTCCACAATACATGAGTACTCTTATAACTCGTGCCCCGGCAAGGTTACAATGGTTTTCGTGTGGAAACTTCGCTAAGTACATATACGCTGAGCTTCTTCTCGATTTTGGGACTGTTATCGCATTCGCGCCAAGCTATGACTAAGCACGATTTGCATGAGCCGAACTGGAGTTGAATTTTAAATTTTACTGTGAGCACACAGAGATTCTCCAAGAACCGCCATGGCTGCCTCAATACAGCTACTCGCCCACGAAAGCGTCGATCTAGAGATTAAGAAGAAAAAGAAGAAATCAAAATCCAAGGAGAAGGAAGCCACAGATGGCGAACCCGAATCGCAGGACCACCGCCGTGCCTCGAAAAAGAGAAAGCGAGAGGCCCTCCCCGAAGAAATAGAAATCGACGTAAATCTCCCAGAGCCAGTGTCAAAAAAGGCGGCACGAAAAGCGAAGAAGTTGAAACCCTCAGCTAAGGGCGCCGAAGAATCTTCTGCAGAAGCTAAGACTGAGACTGGAAAGTCTGAGGGTGATAATCAGTCTGGTAAACGCTCTGAATACGGGGTATGGATAGGCAACTTGCCATGGTCCGCTACCAAAGACTCTCTCCGCACATTCCTCGCCGAGAATTCCGATATCACGAACGAGCAGATCACTCGTGTGAACATGCCCGCACCAAGAGAAGCACCGAATCCGCGATGGACGACAAAGCCTCTCAACAAGGGATTCGCATACGTCGACTTCTCTACACAATTAGCTATGTATTCAGCCATTGCGCTCACGGAGACAAAGTTGGACGGTCGGCCGCTGCTCATCAAGAACGCGAACAACTTTGAGGGACGGCCAGAGAAAGCTACAACCGAGCAGGATGGATCGGATAGCAAGACGGACAAGCCTGGTCACCCACCAAACAAAAGGGTTTTTGTGGGCAACTTAGCATTCGATGTTACGAAGGAGGACTTGCAAGAGCATTTTGGACAATGTGGTGAACTTGTCGACATACACATGGCTACGTTTGAGGACTCGGGGAAGTGCAAGGGATATGCGTGGATCACATTTGACAACGTCGAAGCGGCTACTTCGGCAGTGAAAGGCTACATCTACAAATCGGAGTCAAAGAAGGACGATAACGACAGCTCGGAAGCCGAGTCTAAAGGCCGAGCCAAGGAGAAGAAGCCGCGAAAATGGTACATCAACAAAATTCGAGGTCGAGATCTCCGTTGCGAGTTCGCAGAAGATTCCACGACGCGCTATAACAAGCGATACGGAAAGGAGAAGAAACCGGATATCGAGGGCGTGCATCCAGACCGCCAGAGGCACTTTGATCAAGATGGAGAAAACGATCGCCCACGTCCGAAGAGACAACCTCACCGCAAAATTGATACTCGGACCATCAAATCCGGTGCTGCTCATACAAATGCTCAAAGGGCCTCGCAGGCCATTGTGGAGGCTAAGGGAAAGAAGATTACGTTTGATTGAGACCTCTAGATGTCTGGTATATTGGAATTGTCACAAGAAATCATGTTACCCGTACCCATAGATACGAATGAACCATTGTTGATTCTCGAATTTCAATACACAGAACATCTTCGCCCAAACAGGCTAAATCCCTGTCAGTTGTCACGACATTTTTGCCGCTGTGGGGCTCTACATGCAAGCTAGGAAGCGTTACCCCACCGAGAAATTAGTGCAAATCCTACACGACTGCGTAACCCTCTGAAGCCTACGTTAAATTTGACTATTAAAGTCTGCTCGATCTTGCCATGTCCCTCGATTCCTTCCGAGTTCTTGACTTGCTTCTTCAATTCCTAGTGCTTCCTGACTTTTAGATCCATATCTAGCGAGAGTAAAATATATATCTAAACATGAGTGTTCCATCAAAAGACGAGTATGGGGCTCCATCTGATCTTCCTGAAATGGAATACCGATTCGTGGGCCATTCAGGATTACAGGTCTCTGCCATCTCACTGGGGGGCTGGCTTACTTATGGAGGACATGTGGATGAAGGTACGTCGAATTCTCAATTCCATTTGCACCGCCCAATTCCCTTCCATGTTCCGCATACCATATCCCTACCGAACTCTCTGTTGTAATCCGCGATTCTGGAGCAGTGTTGATGTCTCCATTTCAAGAAAGCAGGGTAAAGCGATTTGAATGGAACTGGAGCTGACTACGTGGGCAGAGAAAGCACATGCATGTCTGGAGGCTGCATACAATGCTGGCATCAATTTCTTTGATTGCGCGGAAGGATATGCAGGTGGTGAAAGTGAGAAGGTTATGGGAAGGGCAATTCAGAAGTTTGGGTGGAAGAGGAATGATATTGTTGTTTCTACGAAGGTACGGGCACTTTCTCTTTCTCGGTGCATCGAGCATATCCACTCTTGTTTATTATCTACTCTTACTGCTCTCTCTCCTCCTCTCTCCTCCTCCTATCAAATCCTTGTCCATTCCTTTCTCTTTGCTTATTGAATTCGGGCTATATGGTTGTGTTTCAGTTCCCAAACTCTTCATCTCTCATCCACCCACAGATCTACTGGGGCACCCATAACTCCTCCCTCCCCTCCCCCCGAAACAAAATCAACAACCTAGGCCTCTCGCGCAAGCATCTCCTCGAAGCGACCTCGGCCTCCCTCTCCCGACTCCAACTCTCCTATGTCGACATCCTCTATGCCCATCGCCCCGACCGGCACACCCCGATCGAGGAAACCGTTCGCGCCTTCAACCACCTGATTTCCACAGGCCAAACGCTCTACTGGGGAACTTCGGAATGGCTTGCCTCCGAAATCGAAGAAGCCTGGGCAGTAGCCGATCGCCTTGGACTAATTGGCCCAATCGTCGAACAACCCGGATACAGTCTCTTAAACCGGAAGAAAGTCGACGAGGAATTCGCAAACGCAGGACTCTACTCTCGTCGTGGCCTGGGGTTGACCATCTTCTCTCCACTCCAAGGCGGCATTCTAACCGGCAAATATATCGACGGAATCCCTGAGGATTCCCGGCTCAAAAAGAGTGACGATAAGTACATCCAATCGGTGTCGAAGAATGTGGGCAGCGAGGCATGGATTCGGCAGCAAGAGGTTGTGAGGAAGTTGAAAGCGGTGGCGGAGAAGTTGGGCACAGATACGGCGACGTTGAGTATGGCGTGGGTGCTCAAGAATCAGAATGTGAGTTCAGCGATTACGGGCGCAAGCCGGCCGGAGCAGATCTGGCAGACTGTGCGGGCACTAGGTTTAATTAAGAGGTTAGACGAGGGGGTGATGGAGGAGATTGAAGGCGTTGTGGGGAATAGGCCAGAGAGGTTGACGATGAGGTTTGGGTAGTTTGGGGGGTTGCAGAAGGGGAGGATGGCGTTATGATATCCGACCTTGCCAAGTGCTTATTGGCTTTGTTACGGTGACTAGGGGATCCGTTATTCGAGCAGGGAGAGGATAATAGTTACCAGTATCTAGTGAAGAGGGTGTACAGCCCTATACCTCTGCAGATGTAACTGTTAGCAGGGTGTGAAAGAATAGAGGAAGAGGTAGAGTAAAGTAAGAGATTGTTAGTTATAAAAGTACTCTATACTTCTTTACACCTCACACCTAAGCTAGCACACTTTGCTGCATCTGCTAAGTTCGATTAGTTACATTAGAACCGCTGCTTCTTATTCTAAACCTTGTAGTTATATTTAAAAATTATTAGAGCTTGTTAAAAAATATATAGTAAACTCTAGAGCTAAGGCTAGCAATTGAACAGCAGAAGCTAGACATATAGGTAGAGAGCTTAGCAATGCTAGGACCTGTTAAGGCGCTGTTAAGGAATAGCAGCATTAACCTTTATATGGAATTCTACTAATTAGACAGAATTTAATGTCTAGTACAAGTATGCAGCTTTAGAGCTAGCCCTAGATCCAAGCGGCTTTTGTTAGACAGTTGGAGAGCTTTTGTTACTGGATTGTTGAGAGCCAGTGATAAACAATATTAGGGAAAAGTCAGTACGAGATAAACGGACGTTAAAGACAAATCAGAGAAGTTTTAAGGGCGTATTCAAGACAAACTGAAGTTTAAAAGATATACAAGCTACTACCAACCTCAAAACTAGTTAGGAGCTTGTGGCAGTTCTGCTAACCCCAGAGCTAAGTCTCGGGGAGGGCAGGAGGATGAGCGTGTGGTGGATACAGAGCAAAATAAGTCTGGAATGTGTAACGCGAAGTTTAGGCAATCTTACACCGGTTCCATTGGGATTCCTGTTTTCAAGTACCTAGACATAGCAGGTAGATGAAAGGAAAGGAAATGGAAAGCAGTGTCGATATCGTCGAAGTGACGATATGGAATGCGGGATGGCTAGGATATAACAATAAAATTTGAACGCAGTATACCGTAAAGTTAAGATTTTAAAAAGTGAGCCGATGAGGTAGTGGCAGAGAAGTCAAAATTAGTCCGCCACTGCGGTGAAAGAATCACAAGTATTTCATGCAATTAAGTCACTCCTTCGTCTCATGCATCCCGCTAAGAACTCCTGCCTTCTTATATAAACGCTGCACCGCCTGCTTCTCCAGCATGTTTCTCCCGTGCACACCAAAATCAATATAAACCTGTAGGCCGAAGGGCTCTACAATGAGCTGCGTAATCTACCTTAGGCTTGGCTTCTCATCATACTATACAAATCATACAGCTTCTTAGACTCCCAGACCACAATAGATCACCTCTTTCATGACTCAAACCCACTGCAAAGCTATAAAACCAGTGCGCTTCTAAAACCCTCCTAGTTTCCAACTCATGCACCTCCATCGGGCTCAATAAGGTAGATACTGACCCTCTCCTCAGACTTCTCAGCCTGACAAGTAGCATACCTAGCGTAAATACCTTCAGAATTAAAACGACCGACTAAAACGACAGGAATTTAACACATGCAAAAACTTCAAGCAGGGTCAATTCCAATGGCTGACTATTCTCGGGGGTTCAGCCAAACTCACGATTATCCATCCCTGTCAAATAATCTCCTGAAAATGCGCGGGATCCACTTGCATCCCATATAGTAGAAGTGTAACTAGGTCGAGATATTATCTATTAGTGCCTGTACCTCTCTATGTATCATGCCTGCCCCTAGAGGCTCCACATCAATACAGCACACTTCCGCTGCATCATCACCCAGCCTTCAAGAAGCTCTCCAAAAGTGACCGATACCATGAATAATATCTGTCCGATCGAGCAGGCTTAGAATAAAATTTCAGTTCTCCTCACCATGTGTCCTAGGGAGGCGAGTTGGCGCTGCAGAAGCTAGTTTGGTTACATAAGAACTGAAGTCGACCAACTCATGGCTCTTGTTCGTGATAAATGCTGCCCAGAAGCTTGACTATGTATTCTCCGGGTGCTGTTGTTTTTGCTGGAATAGATTGGAAATAAATGTATGGCTAAGCCCGTTTGTAGATTGTGTGCATGGGAAGGAGATGAAGGTTCAGGGGATAGGCTAGAAAATGTAATTAGATCAACATACCCTTCGCCACCAGCTGATTCCAAGTGAAAAGATGCGACGTTAAGCTACGCTACGTCTTCACCCTGCGTTCGCCTCATTTATATCAGTCCGCGCAAACTCCAGCCTGTCACGCGGTCCCTCCCTCCTTCCGCATTCACGAAGTCCCTTCACCATCCCACTGGCATATATACACACCCCCTTATCCACTCCAGCTCCCTTCCTCCACTTTACGCCAGGTACCTGCCTACCCAGAGCCACCTCCTAGCCAGCTGCCAAAGCCGGACTAGAATACAATCTCATCAGCCTCCACACATGGTGGGTAGCTTGGATCGCCCTCCACTCATTTCGTAACTTTGTTTCACTTCCAGTGCGAGGCGCTAAAAAGGTCGTCTCATAGGCTTGCGATATTTCCCTGCATCTCCTCGGCCTAAGAACGGGGATGAAGCGGTCGTAGCAAGAATGAAACCACTGCAAGCAACGTGATATGACCCAGCCACCTCTTCCGCCTACCTACCTCTCAGAGACCAAGACATTCCTAGACTAGACTAAGAACCTCAGCATCCATCGCTATGATCAGAACTCCGATTGTCCATGGACTTTGAGATGCTAGGAAGCCATGGAATTTGAAACGGGGGAACAATGGCATATGGCTGGAATAAAAATCAGGAAGTCAAGTATCATTGCCCAGCTTCGTCTGCGTGCTTACTTGTCTCTCGGTTTAGAGAAGAGGCAACAAAGCATACATGAAGTCTCATGTCCATAAAAGCCTCCAGCATAGATATCATTAACGTAATTGCAGCTTATCCAAGATTAGAGGTAGATCTAGCCAAGCTCTCAGAACAACACTTCCCAATACTAGTACAGTGTGAAACTAAACCCGTTGATGGAAGAGCTACGCGGTTTTAGCTGTTCTTGAGTCTGCATTGATTTGATGATGTCGGGAGAAGGGGGGTTCATGGGTGCAGGAGACTGGAGATTCCATAATATCGCTAGGATAAAGTAATATAAGATGAGATGAGCGGGGAAATAACACCAAAAGTAATCGCAATCAATACAACAGAGAGAGCAGAACAGAGCCGAAGCGGGGCGAGAGTGGGCGAGAGAGGGTGGGGTGGAACGGTTGACTGAGATCCAATGTAGCTAGTCGTGGTTATCTAACCTCATCCAAACCTCAGCCCCCCAGATCCCTCAAAGATCCTTGGGTTTAAATATTGGTTGAGACCCACCCAGCTTTCCACTCCATTGCTCTCTTGGGTCGATAATTCAAAAGTGCCCCACCCACTTTCTCGCTCTATTTTAGACGTGCATAAGTATATAGATACCCAAAATTTCCTGCACCTTCTCAATGCGATGATTAAATATGGGCATGCAGTGTAGTGGGAGCATAACAAAGGGGGAAAGAGCTGCAGAATTTGCCAAATCACTTTCCCCTTGAGAGACTCAATGTCGATTCCCTACGTGCCTCTTTGGATTTAATTTTGTTTTCTTTTTAATACACTGTCCTTTACTCGATTATTAGGCTTCTGTTGCGGAAAGGAATGGGAGGAGGTGCGGGGTGGTTGAGAGAGAGATGCATATAGCGGAGATGCGGTCTTGGAAATATTGAATAGGAGACGCTGGATACTGGGGGACAAACAGGGGCGGGAAGACGTTGAGTAGGAACGCTGATGTCATGAAGAACGAGGTATTTGGTAGAGAGGAAAATGGACATGTCATTAATTTTGAAGAGTATGTCGAGAAGGATGAAGACTATAGCGGGGTCTCTTAACGCTCTCCGTCACTAGTACATACTTTTTAAAGGATCAAATGTTTCCCCTTAGACATGCTAGCAAGATGAGGGAGTAATGCCACCCACGCTTGTCAGCCCACTGTGCACAAAGAAGACACACCGTCCCTCCAGCTATGTCGTGATACTCGTTCCAGTGCCGAGAAGCTCGCATCGTTCTAGATTCATGGATAGTGCCTCATCTATTTGGATGCATGCGAATTTGCCTGTTTCCTTCGAAATTGCGAGTCAACAAAAAGTTCGGTTCAGGAACTTCTCGGCCCTGGCGGCAAGTAGCATTGCGAAGAGCATTGTGAGAAGCATTTTTAGCAAAACGAAAGCTAGAATGATCTTGCACAGTTTTGGTAATGCGCTGATGAACTCTTGGAAAATGGACGTCTTCGGCTGCGTCCTCGACAGGTTGAGCACGTGTACGAGTCGGGAGATGTCGGGAAGGTTGCATTCTTCAAGCATTGAGTTGACTAGGTCGACGTCTTCGCGTTCGAGGGCATGGAGGATTCGGTTGACTCGGGATTTGTCTGCTGCTCTGACGTGCGTGAGTTAGATTGAATGGAAACATCATAGGAGAGACATACCTCTTTTTTGGGTTGCTCCTGCGCGTACCGCCTGGCGCGCTGTCGCGAGTGCCAACCATCGCGTTCACAGGAGGGCCAAGCTCGATGCGGGTCATTTTGGCCCTTCAGCGAAATCCGAGGACGGAGTGCACCTTGCGTGTTCGTTCAGGGTGCTAGACAAAGGGTGAGAGCGATAGACGACGAGGCATGAAGGACTGGGGCGAGAGGTTCGAATTCCGAGCCTTTTGAGGGGAAGGTACCGGTGTCGCTCCTGCCAGTGAAAATTGCCTAGTGATACTCCTTCAACCTCAAGGGGCAGGAACGGCTTATCATGGAAAAGATTCGGGCCCGTAAGACATGTTGGTGTGTGTGTGAAGAGTAACGAAACGGCGAGGAAATGAGACGTGCGAATCAGCATATGAACTCAATTGCATGCTGAGTTGAAAGTCCAAACTCAAGCCCCGCAACTACCTGTCACTCCTGCCTTACCAGTACAAGGAGCACTAAGCTCACCAGATCCAAGGAATCATTCGCTTTCTCCCCTTGACCATTTCCGCCCCAAAACGCTCAGCATACCAGTGTTTTGTTGCACCAGCAGTGACACCCAAATTGACAGCAACGAAAACCGTTGCGGAGGCCAGAGTCCAGTTCACAAGTCGGCCTTCTGGAGCTGCTAGAAACGACAGAAGAAGATAGATAACCACCTCACAAGTGTAGTGAGGGCAGAGAAGGTTTGGGAAAAGGGGATGAGATGGCAGCTTGTATGTCGGGCCCACACTTTCAGTACGCAGACGGTAGAGGTATGAATGGTACACGTGCTGCCCTGCATGCGCTAGAAGAATGGCGGAAGTAAGAAAAGGCAGTTTCCGCTCGAATGTTGGATCTGAAGCGCGGCGTCCGTTCCGAAGTGTATTTGTGATTTCAATCCAGATGGCCACATTCACAGTGAGATAGAACACTAGACCGAGGATGTAGTGCCCGATCCACATCTGACTCTTGCTTTTCGAGGTGTATAAATATGATTCCAGAAGCCGACGAGTGCCCTGGAGCAGCATGAGGAACCAGACGATTTGCACCTTCCCCACCGCCTTGACAGTGGCATCTACGGTTCGCCACGGGGTAAGACCAATCAACGGCCACAGCTGATAGCCCCAAAACAGCGAGCATAGCACAGACAATATGTAGAAATGTGTGAAGTAGTTATGCGGGATGCGGAAGCTGGCCAGGTCGTCGAGGAATTGGTCCACAGACTGGGTGCGGGGTTTCTGTGACGACTGCGGTGGCTCATCAGATGTTTGGTGGGTGGCACGAGAGCCGTATGCTAGAAAGCGGCATTTCAGTGGTGGCACGGCCTGGATGAAGAGGATCTAGTAAGCAGCGCAGGTTAGTGACACAGATGAAGGCGGAGAGACGGTGGACTCGATACAAGAGCGGATGCGGCGAGAAAGAAGGTGCGCAACAGAGCGACAGGATCGAGGAGTCGTGCGACGACGTTTGCCATGCCTATTCGTAGAGCGTCTTGGATATGGTGACGTTAATGTGCGAGAGCAGATTGGGGTGCGTCGTTGCAGTGTGAGTGAGCAGGTGGAGGTGGGAAGGCCGCAGCCTTTCACCGCTGCACCTCTGCTGCCACTGGCCCTGGGCTTGGGGCCAGATCGGCGTTTTCGTTAAGGTTAATTTACCCGTCGATCACACAGCTTCAGCATGGCACGAGAGCGCGCCGTTTGTTGGGCTATAGTAATGTTTCACGCTGCTCTGTTGAACGCCGAAGCACAGGCAGACCGTGGACTGACGGCCAGCGAGTGCGTAGGAATACCCCCCCCCAAATGCCCCCCAATGTTGGCAGCCGAGACGAATACTCGAAATGCGCAACATGCTTCGGTCTCCTTTTCATCAGACAGTCACATCTTCCCCATGATAAACATCCGAGGCCATGCCAATCCTGTGGGATGGGCTGGGATGTCAGCCAAATCAGCACGCAGCTTGAGCAGCAGCCTGGCTAGCGGCCAAGCTCCTCTCTGTGATTTGCCAGCTCCCACACGCCTCCATATCGCAGACACTCGACTCCTGCAACTGCTACCCTCCACACACTGTTCTCGTTGTTCAACGCCTGCTGTCCGTCTCCCGCTGTACCACAATCATATCCACAACATCGCCCATCCCCCATCCCCCATCGCCCATCCCTCATCGCCCATCGCCCTGCACTGCCTCCCCTCCCGACCGCGAACACAAAGCGACACAGCACCCGTCCCCGTGCAGGCAGCCAAGCGCCTTGTTCTCGCCGCTCCCGCCCTCGCACCTGTCCCTTGCTCGCTCCCCAAGCCGACCGAGATGAGGCAGGAACTCTTGAGTCCTGTCCCCGTATTGCGTGATGACCAGTAATGGCGATGCTGTTCTGAATCCATCTTCCTTCACCACCCAAGCCATCGACGGTTTCTTGCGACGAAACCACCTGTCCGTCTCACCACCGCCGCCCGCCTCTTCGCCCAAGGCTGTCAAACCCGCCTCGCCCTCATCCGCCAAACGCAAATCCTCATCAAATACCCGCCTGCAGAATGGCGACAACAGCTCCGACGATGCCCCAAACGAGTCCGAGGCCGAGACGGTCGTGCTGGACGACGCCAAAGGCGACGCGAAGCAGCGCGTCAAGACCGAGCGCACCGACGACGACGATGCGGACAGGCTGCGCTCGGTCAAGGAGGACTCGCAGACGTTGTCACCCGCGATGAGTGGCCGCAAGAACTCGACGTCGGATGCGAGAGACCTCAAGACGAACGGCGCCAAGCATGGCTCTGAGCGGGATGCAAAGAGCCCTGTTCCCACGTCCCCCAGCAGCCGCACCACCTCACGGCACACCAAAGAGACCAGCCCGGCCGACTCTGCAAAATCCCCCGTGAACTCCACTACCTCGCCGTCGCACCCTACCACGCGCGGCCGCAGCGCGTCGACGGTAGAGTCATCACGCAAACGCAAACTGCGGGATGAGTCGAACTCGAAATTGCTGGAGCCGCCGCGACAGAAGGTTAAAACAGAAGGCCTGAAAGACCAGCGCAACCAGCCCACATCGCCGGCCGCTCCAGGCCTGAGCAGAGCTCACAAACGATCTCAGTCCACCCAGTCGCTCGTCGGCGCTGTCGGTCGCAAGCGCAGAGAAATCACGTCCATCACGCTGCCGCCGCAGGACCGCAAACATTGGTCAGACTCGAGCTCGGAAAACTCCTCATCACCACGTCCCGTCCAAACCCCCAGTCTACCTCCCCACACCAGAGTTAAGCGGTCATCGCATCGAGCATTGACGTCTCCGGCGCGCGCTATGGTGCACAAGCGAAACGTGGATAAGTTTGGCGCAACCCGCCTTGCACGAGAAAGCGAGAAAGGCGATCTCTCCGCAGTGAAGGCTGCATACAACGCCGCGCCAGAGGAGCTTGACCAGGAGGACTTCGCAGGCATTGCACCGTTGCAAAAAGCTGCACTGCACGGCTGGGCGGAGGTGGTAGCGTTCCTAATTAGCAAGGGCTGTAGAACCGACTGCGAATCCAACGACCGAGACACCCCGCTCATCGATGCCGTCGAGAACGGACACCTCGATGTTGTTAAGCTCTTGCTTGACAAAGGAGGCGTGAACCCACACCACCAGAACAAAAAGGGCCAGCGCGCTATCGACGTCCTTGATCCCGACGACGAAGATGCGGAGGATATTGAAAAGGAGCTCAGAGCGGCGATGCGACGGGAAATCAATTCCACAAAAAACGATGAATATAGCCAACCAGGACTAAATGAACAAAAGTCGGCGTCAAGACTCTTGTACAACGAATACAATACAGAGACACTGATTGAGAAAGCCGGAGACGGAGACATCCTGGCCGTTGGGGAGCTGATCAATAGCAATATCAAACCAAACATTGCTTGCGGTGTCGCTGCGTCCCGGGGCGGGCATTACGACATCCTCAGCATTCTTCTCGCCAGCGGTCTGAAGGCAGACCCCGACCCTTCAAAGCACAGCGAGACTCCGATGCTGGTGGCTATTGGTCGAGGACACCTTAAGATTGTGAACTTACTTCTCGAGCAGGATAACTTCGATCCAACAAGACGGAACCGCGATGGGAAAACATATTGGGAAATATCGGAAGAAAGACGAGGACCGAAATGGGAGCAGGAAAGGGATGCCCTTAAGACCGCATTCGACGCCTTCCGGCAAACGCACAAGAGCCCGAGGAGGAACAAGAAGGAGGCACCGAATCCATCTGCTATGCGCGTGAAGAGGAAGTCGTCGCCTCGTCGTGAGCGCTCTTTCTCCCCTCGACCAGAATCCAAAAGAGGCCATCTTAGCAAATCTACTAACGTGCCACAAGCGCCCCAGAAATCTAGGAGGCTCATGTCCGGGAAAGAGATGGCGAACCGCGAGGTCAAGCGACGCCGACGGGTTGTTAGTGAAGAAACATCTGACGAGGAAAGTGAGGAGGAAGTGCGGCGCCCAGCGAAGAAGGCCATGTCGAAGCCTCGATCGTATAGTGAGGGAGAGGAACAGAAGCCCGCTAAAAAGGCACCAAAAGCCCGTTCAGCGGACCACGACGCTCCTAAGAGAGTTGCACGAGCCTATTCCGACGACAGCGCCGACGAGCACTACCACAGACCCACATCAAAGATTCGGACCAGAACAATCCACAACGCCAAACCCACACCTGACGCAGAATCTCCAGACGAAAAGAAAGCTGGGAAGAAGATGGCCAAAAACCGGCTCATGGAGGAGAAAGCGAAGAAACGGCGGATGTCTGACGTGTCCCTTGAAGAGACTAAGTTGAAGAAGACACCTTCTGCGTCTGGAAAATCCACCCCCGCACCTCCCGAAAAGGCTTCCACCCCGGAATGCGTCCGCGAACGTCGCCTTGAAGCAGAGAAGCAGGCTGCAGAAATTAAACGCAAGGCAGCTGAAGCAGAGGCACGAAAACGAGAAGAGGAGGAGGCCGCCCGGGAAGCTGCACGTGAGGCCGCTCGCAAAGCTGCGGAAGAGGAAGAGGCAAGAAAGAAGGCTGAAGCCGAAGCCGAAGCTAGGCGTCTTGCAGAGGAAGCCGAAGCTGTACGGAAACGAGAAGAGGAAGCTAGGAGACGAGCTGAGGAGGAGGCTAGAATAGCAGCAGAACGAGCCGCTCGCCAAGAACGCATATCAAAGCTCCCGAAGGCATTGCGGCGGGCTTGCGAGCAAGGAAGCAATCGCCCATTGCACTTCTCAGGAGAAGAATTAGGCATATCACCTGTCTTCTTGCCACTCTTCTATGCATCTTCCAAGGACCTCAGGCCTTCCGAACCGAACCCCACCTCCAAATCCTACATAATGTCCTTCCAAATTGTTGGCATTCTTGGTCTCCCCGAACTCGACCTCACACACCTCGGCGCGCCCTATGCTGAATGGGAACGAATACCTGTAACCCGCAAACAGCGCGAAATCCTCCTCCGCGAGTATGACGTTGCACTCCTCGCCCAAGACTTCCGTTTCCCAATGGAAGGCACCCCTGAATTTGATTACGAGAAGATTCAAGAGGATATCAAGGAAGCGCGGCAACAGTTTCTGGATATGGACGGTTTGTACTGGGTTGAGGATACGGTTATCAATGAGGAGGTGGAGAAATTGCAGAGTCTGAGGACGTTGGTGGATGAGATTAAGGACACTGGGAAGAGGAGAAGATTGAATGTTGCTGAGGAAGAAGTGGAGGAGGTATTGAAGGAAAAGAGACATAAGCCTAGGAAGAGCTTTATGGATGTTGTGCTAGGTCAAGCTACTGTGAATGGGACACCAGCAGAGGAGGTGGTGAGTGAGAATGTGAATGGGAATGCAAATGCAAATGGGAATGTGAGCGGGAACGGGAATGCAAACGGTACGAACGACTCCAATGCCGGAAATATTGATGTCAATGTTACTCCCACCTCCAACGCCAACGCCAACGCAACCGCGAGCACAAATGGGGAGGGGTGAGCCGAAAAGTTGAACCAAGAACTTTTCAATCACTCGCCTTGCTCCTTTCACATGGAGCTCATCCCAAGCCCTGCAGTATCCTGTCCTATCCGAACCTACGACGTACCAGGCACTGGGTATGGCGCATCCACGCCTCCTGTCAACCATTATTGATGTCTGAGGAAGTACCAACAACGCAGCTAGAGATATAGTACAATCACGAGGATGGAAGAAGAAGGATTGATGTGAGAGAACGAGGGTTGTGCTAACCACTGGGGGCACACAATGTTTTAGGATTATCTTGGAATGTGACTGTATGGATACAGGAAGATAAGTGGAAATAAGGGATACGGGAGTGTGGTGGGTTGGAGGGGATATTATTCTGTGCATAGCATAATGTCCAATCATCTTGATGATGAATTTAGTGATATGTGGTGTTTAGAGGAGTAACGTCCCTCCCTACGTAGCGAGACACCCTCCGTGCCGAGACAGATAACGGGTACTTCGACTTGAGCAACTCGATATCTTCGCACACGATAAGAATCGCTGCAGTTCTGAATAAGTTATGTGCTATAGCTATTTATAAACATCTTAGGCCTCTCCTACGTAAAAATTACCTCTACATCATTGCCTTCACGCATAAGTTACAAATAGCCTTCTTTGTACGCATAACAATAATCCTTTGCTGCAGCACTACTTATAAGCTTTTACCACTAACTACACTTATAAAGTGGTATAATCCTACCCTCAGAGCCCTATAATCGCGCGGTAAGCCATGATCAGCCTTGTGTCCGCTTCGATGCCCAGATTCATGCAAGATCGCCACGTTGATCGGTACCTCGGCTAGTGTCAAGCAGCCCTGCACGTCCCACGTAATCATTGTGGTGTAATTTATTTGCAGTGGCTGACAGATCTGTGGCTTTGCAGAACCTTACGGTTCGGAGGCAGGCTTTCGCATGGCCCCAGTTTTGAACAGTCTAAAGTCAACGCTACATGACTACTTCGATTTCTAACCTTCCTATTCCTTCCAAGATCGACGATGAAGTTGACGATGCTGACCTCCCTTCCGGACATATATGGGCCTATCCATGCAAGCTTCCTTCTTGTCCCAACTACGGCAAAGTCCTGGCTCCTATAAAGCAACTTTCTCCTCCATCTGCAAGAGCAAGATGCACACGTAACGACAATGACGACAACGATCGCACGCGGCGCAATCGAGAAAGAGTGGCGGTATACCACCGATCCTCATTTGCCGCCTCGAGCAGCCCCAGATTTTCGCCCACGAGACGATCCAGACGAGCATGTGTGGGACTACAACTTCAAAGATGATACTGACAAAGTAATAGCTAGCAGAGGCACGCTAAAGTAAATGTAATTTTACTAGGCCTCACAACGTCAACAACTACAGGGAAGCCAGACAGCGTTGCCGCGGTCTTACTAATGCGTTGCGATAAGACCTCACTTCGTGTAGCAAAACAACACATTTAAACATGGGAAAAGAAACGGAAAGGTAGTTGCTTGATAGAGAATAGCGATCTATTCTGAGAGGCTTTTGGTTGATGATGTATCCATGTAATCATGGTCATGACCTGCAGTGCGCTTTGCTGCTCTCTGCTCATCCTCGATAAAACGCCAAAGGTGCACCATCGGAGGCTCGGCATTGCACCAGCCCGACGAACTCCGATGCCCCCTGCTTAAGTCGTGACTGGTGCATCTCAGCCTAAGAACAACTAGAGTTAGTGTACAAAATCTCCCTATCTAGTTTTAAATTAAATATTACACAACCTTTTATAATTATTAAGTCTAGGACTAGTCCTGCACCTATCTTACTTCTGCTAAACACTAATGCAACACTACTAAAGCACTATTAAGAGTAACATTTACCTATCTACTGCTAGTCTTTACTTAATAATGCTTAACTTTTTTCTTATAAAAGATTTTAAAGT